GAAGCCATTATCTCTTCAACTAACCAGAGATTTCAGGAATCCACCATCTCATTAGCATCCAAGTTACAGAGACAACCGGCGGCTACTCGACCCCAGCGACGGAGTCCTGGACCCCGACGTGAACAGCCCAACCGGGATTCTTTTCGAGCCTCTACACAGAGAAACAGATCGTATCAACCCAGGTACAAGAGCTCCAAAGTTGATCTTCCCACTTCACAGAAAGGACTTGGCAGAGGAAGAGGCAGTTCCCGTAGGGGCCCCCTCCGGAGATGACTTCACCATAAATCTACAGACCCATCCAGATCCTACCGACTTCGCCTGCCCTACGGACAACGATTTAGCATTACGGAAGACCAAGGACAAGTCTATTCCAAATCCAGTCGAACTAGCCAACCTTACAAACATCGACTCAAGACTTCCCAAGTTCAAATCTCATCCTATCCCAGGGCCTGTCGGGGGCCGTCTTATGCAGTACGCAGACAACTGGGAGACCATCACAGACGACTCATGGTTAATCGAAGTAATAAGAAGAGGCTACAAACTTCACTTCTTAAAACGACCAAAACTAGTCATTCATCCTACCGGACCCCGATTCCAGCTATCAGGACCCAAGCTCATCGCAGCAGAAGTGGCCATACAAGAATTACTCACAAAAGGAGCTATCAGCACCCTAGAGGAGTCAGACACCACCCTCGGATTCTACTCCCCAGTTTTTCTGGTACCGAAGAAGAATTCTTCAGAGATGAGATTAATAATAGACCTAAAAACTCTGAACAAAGATTACCTGGAAAAACCACCCACATTTCAGATGGAATCTATAAAGAAGTTAAAGAATTCCCTAAGACAAGCAGATTGGATGATAAGCATAGATCTCCAAGACGCATATCTTCACGTCCCCATCCATCCAAGCCATCGTCGATACCTACGATTCGCTGTCAACGGTCAGAGATACCAGTTCAGAGTACTACCATTCGGCATTTCCATCGCCCCATGGTTATTCACCAGGATCACCAATCCCGTCATTGGGTTCGCCCATATGAAGCTCATAAGGCTGCACGGATATATAGACGATTTCCTATCGGTCGATCAGGACAAATCACAACTCAGTCTAAACACAGTGTGTCTCATCCAACTTCTCACATATTTAGGTTTCCTGGTTCACTCTCAAAAATCAGAGCTAGTACCCACACAGACCATCACCTACATCGGCGCAAGATTTATTCTCGACAAAGGCATAGTCGCACCCCCAGAGGACAGATATGCAAGGGTACAGCACATGATTACGAGTGCACTCGATCAGCCCGTCAAGTCGAGAAGGTGGTGGATGTCTTGCCTAGGCACGCTCACATCTATCCAAGACCTAACCTACAGAGGCAGGCTACAATTGCGGTCCTTGCAGATTTGGATGAACACCACCAAGAACCTAGAGCTGGAAGCACTAATCCAACCCCCAGAAGTTCGAATCTCAGAACTCCTTTGGTGGCTAGATCGTCAAAATGTCATGCCAGGTATTCCACTAAACTACCCCACCCCACTACATCAACTCTACACAGATGCATCAGGAGAGGGTTGGGGTGCTCATATGGACGATGTCACCATTCAAGGGAAATGGTCCTCCCAAGACAAAGAGCTGCACATCAATTGTCTAGAAATGAGAGCAATATATCTAGCATTAACAGCTTGGCTAGATCGTCTACACCACTCGTCAGTGAAGATAGCTACAGACAACTCAACCGTGGTCGCTTACATACAGCACCAAGGAGGCACAAGATCTCAGCCTTTACTGAAGGAGGTTACACGTTTATATGCCTTGGTAGACTCAGTGAGTTGCAAGATCGAAGTATTCCGGGCAAGCTAAATATACTAGCAGATTACCTATCCCGGAAGAACAAGATAGTACCCACAGAATGGTCACTACATCCCGAGGTGTTCAAGTGGATAACCCAGGTATGGGACAGTCCAAACATAGATCTATTCGCCACATGTCTCAACAACAAACTACCAGTCTATGTCAGCCCGGTACCAGACCCACTAGCACTCCAAGTCGATGCGCTCTCCATGGAATGGAAGGGAATGTTTGCTTACGCATTTCCCCCATGGGCTCTCCTAGACAGAGTACTGAGGAAAATAGAGGAAACGGACTGTGTCATAATCCTCATAGCCCCGGCCTGGCCAAAAAGGGCTTGGTTTCCGAGACTCCTACAACTGCTGCTAGAAGTACCTCTGAAACTCCCAGTACGTCCCGACCTATTGAGACAACCAAAGACGGACATATTTTACGGCCGCCTCGACAACCTCCATCTTCACGCTTGGAAGTTATCTCGCATAAGATGCAAGCAGCCGGTTACTCTGAATCAGCTGCACGAAGAGTGGCTAGCTCATGGAGACCAACCTCATCTGCATTATACAATAACAGATGGGACAAGTTCGTCGAATGGAGAAGAGGAAAACAGTTACATGGAGATATAACGATACCTATAGTAGCCGATTTCTTGCTCCATCTCAGAAATGACAAGAAATTACGACACGGCACTATCGAAGGATATAGATCAGCCCTGTCATCAGTATTACAACACGATGGCCTATCTATAGGTACCCATCCAGTACTAAATCGACTTATGAAGTCTTTTGCCCTGGAAGATATAAAAGTACCACATACTTTTCCTAAATGGGATCTATCTATAGTATTGTCGGCATTGATGAAAGCACCGTATGAACCCATGAGTAGTGCGACATTACTATCAGTCTCCAAGAAAACTGCTTTTCTCTTAGCCATGGCTACGGCGGCTCGCGTGTCAGAACTACACGCTATTGACATCTCCACTGTAACCCATACCAAAGAATGGAAATCAGTGTCGTTCAGATCGCTCCCTGAATTTATTGCCAAAAACCAGTCGTCAACCTTCGGCCCACTCGGACATCGGCAATACACAATTCCAGCCTTAAGTAAAAGTGTGGACTTCCCGGATAGATTGCTTTGCCCCATAAGAGCCTTGAGATATTTTATCACAGCGACTCAACCCCACAGAAAGCAGAGAAAACGCCTATTTATCTCTTGCAAGCCCTCGTCAGAAAAGGACATCGCAAAGGGCACTGTAGCGGGATGGCTAAAAACAGCTATCACAGATAGCTATAAAACGGCACAAATCTCCACTCCGATTTGGGGTAGCTGCAGACCCCACGAAATCAGAGCACTGGCAACAAGCCTAGCCACATGGAATACTGCATCCATCGAACAAATCGTGGCCAGCTGCCAGTGGAAGTCCCACAACACTTTTTCAAACTTTTACTTACGAGACATACAGACCGATCTAAATGGACTATACACTCTGGGGCCTTTGGTGGCCGCCCAGGTGATAGTTACCAAATAAAGTAACCTGTTCCCTCCCTCTTCCAGGAAAGGGAAAAGAGAGGGGGGGGAGGGGGGGGTTGAAGATTTCAGAAGTACCTCAGGAACTCAGGGTAAGTTGTACTTTGTTACTGGACTGCGCTATTGAGTTAGTAAAACAGGGCAAATGTCAACACTGAAATCAGAGATCGAAGGATTAAGTGATATACGGTAATCTACATGATAGGAAGGTTAATGTATTACCACCGGAAGTGACGTCATAGGAGTCATCACACCGGAGAAACGTTAAGATACGTTAAATATCACTATCCAAAAGGGCATAACGGTAAACCACGTCATAAGTGATACGGGAGAATAGTGACACCGGAAGTGACGTCACAGATGACGTCATCACAGGAAGCGACGTCACAAAAAGTCTAAGTATCACAAGGGAATATACATATACCCTTCACATGACGCCTTGAAAATTATATACGTCTAAGTCTTGTAAGAAGACTATTAGACACATCCGTTTAAGACCCCTTTTGGCATATAATCCTTGGTTTTACCACTCCACTAGCCAAATATCTATGGGATGCTAGATACCAGAACCCGCCGGTCCCTCTGGTGTATACTGGCACTGATGTGATAGAGGTGAGGTATTCACAAGAATTATCAAACAATAGTTATCATTGTGAATAATTCTAAGAATACCACCTCTATCACATCAGGAATTAATCCCTCCCACCTCCCCAAATATCTGCATCTAGTTGATGAGAGTATGGGTTGAAAGAAGTGACTAGATTCCCGCCTTGCGCATGCGCAGTGGCGCCTCTGGCAAGGGATAGGGTTTCCCTCACAACTATGGATATATTGGCAGTGTAGTGGACGTCTGTTGAAAATTTATAAAAATTTATAGTGTGGTTCTCAGCATAAACAGGAATTTATGGCACTGATGTGATAGAGGTGGTATTCTTAGAATTATTCACAATGATAACTATTGTTTGATATTGGAAATAGGAAGACCTCTAGTAGAAATAGGAAGCCCTCAAGTAGAAATAGGAATACATATATTTGAATAGGAAGACCTAGAGAGGAAATAGGAAGACCTAGAGTGGAAATAGGAATACATATATTGGAATAGGAAGACCTAGAGTGGAAATAGGAAGCCCTTGAGTAGAAATAGGAAGTCCTAGAGAGGAAATAGGAAGACCTCTAGTGGAAATAGGAAGACCTGTAGTGGAAATAGGAAGACCTCTAGTGGAAATAGGAAGCCCTTGAGTAGAAATAGGAATACATATATTGGAATAGGAAGACCTATTGTGGAAATAGGAAGACCTCGAGTGGAAATAGGAATACAATGACTTGCATCAACCAAGTCAGTGAGCCTGACCACCCGATCCCATAAGAGGCGACTAACAGGAGCGGCTGTTCAGGCTCGCTGACTTTGCTGATGCATGTCGTTGTATCCCAATTCTGTGGATTGATGCTCATGATATCAACCGCTGGATTGTCTGGCCCAGACCCGATTATTTACAGACCGACCGTCATGTAGCTGGCATATTGCTGAGTGCAGCGTTAAACAAAAAGCAAGCAAGCAAGGAATACATGTATTGGAAATAGTCTACAGTCTTGGTGTCAAATATCTAACTAATTTTTGTGTTTGTTTCAGCAAAACTAATGCACATGATGAAGAGGTAAGAAAACTGTATGAAGAAATGGAGACACAGATAAAGCAGGAGAGAGATCGCATTCTGAAAGAGGTATGTTTTTGTTAAATTGACCAAGCACTTATTATCCATCCTCGGTCTTCTGTTGGGTCTTTTTAAAGATGATCAAGTTCAGCATAATCTCACCTTCATGTTGTAGTGGACAGAGCATATGCCTTGGGAGAGGAAGGTCAGTGTTTTGATCTCCTGACCATGTCATACCAAAAGACGTTGAAAGATGGTATTTGTTGTTACCCTGCCTGGCACTCGTCATAAGTGGGATGAAACAAGAACTGGTCAGCTCGGAGTCAGTATACTGTGACTGAGTGGGGTATCCATGTTAAACTGCGGCATGGTATCTCAGTGGGCTAGCACTATAAAACAACCGTGTGTCTGGACTGGTACAAGTAGCCACACACATGCATGTCTCTATATATCTGTAAATATTGATCTGGTTCTGTATTTGATGACCTGGTTCTGTATTTGGTGCCCGGGTACTGTATTTGATGACCTGGTACTGTATTTGATGACCTGGTACGGTATTTGGTGCCCGGGTACTGTATTTGATGACCTGGTTCTGTATTTGATGACCTGGTACTGTATTTGATGACCTGGTACGGTATTTGGTGACCTGGTACTGTATTTGGTGACCGGGTACTGTATTTGGTGATCTGGTTCTGTATTTGATGACCTGGTTCTGTATTTGATGACCTGGTACTGTATTTGATGACCTGGTACGGTATTTGGTGACCTGGTTCTGTATTTGGTGCCCGGGTACTGTATTTGATGACCTGGTTCTGTATTTGATGACCTGGTACTGTATTTGATGACCTGGTACGGTATTTGGTGACCTGGTACTGTATTTGGTGACCTGGTACTGTATTTGGTGATCTGGTTCTGTATTTGATGACCGGGTACTGTATTTGGTGATCTGGTTCTGTATTTGATGACCGGGTACTGTATTTGGTGATCTGGTACTGTATTTGATGACCTGGTACTGTATTTGATGACCTGGTACTGTATTTGATGACCAGGTACTGTATTTGGTGACCTGGTACTGTATTTGATGACCAGGTACTGTATTTGATGACCAGGTACTGTATTTGATGACCTGGTTCTGTATTTGATGACCTGGTACTGTATTTGATGACCTGGTACTGTATTTGATGACCTGGTACTGTATTTGATGACCTGGTACGGTATTTGGTGACCTGGTTCTGTATTTGGTGCCCGGGTACTGTATTTGATGACCTGGTTCTGTATTTGATGACCTGGTACTGTATTTGATGACCTGGTACGGTATTTGGTGACCTGGTTCTGTATTTGGTGCCCGGGTACTGTATTTGATGACCTGGTTCTGTATTTGATGACCTGGTACTGTATTTGATGACCTGGTACGGTATTTGGTGACCTGGTACTGTATTTGGTGACCTGGTACTGTATTTGGTGATCTGGTTCTGTATTTGATGACCGGGTACTGTATTTGGTGATCTGGTTCTGTATTTGATGACCGGGTACTGTATTTGGTGATCTGGTACTGTATTTGATGACCTGGTACTGTATTTGATGACCTGGTACTGTATTTGATGACCAGGTACTGTATTTGGTGACCTGGTACTGTATTTGATGACCAGGTACTGTATTTGATGACCAGGTACTGTATTTGATGACCTGGTTCTGTATTTGATGACCTGGTACTGTATTTGATGACCTGGTACTGTATTTGATGACCTGGTACTGTATTTGGTGACCTGGTACTGTATTTGATGACCTGGTACTGTATTTGATGACCAGGTACTGTATTTGATGACCAGGTACTGTATTTGGTGACCAGGTACTGTATTTGATGACCAGGTACTGTATTTGATGACCAGGTACTGTATTTGATGACCAGGTACTGTATTTGATGACCAGGTACTGTATTTGATGACCAGGTACTGTATTTGATGACCTGGTTCTGTATTTGATGACCTGGTACTGTATTTGATGACCTGGTACTGTATTTGGTGACCTGGTACTGTATTTGATGACCTGGTACTGTATTTGATGACCAGGTACTGTATTTGATGACCAGGTACTGTATTTGGTGACCAGGTACTGTATTTGGTGACCAGGTACTGTATTTGATGACCTGGTACTGTATTTGATGACCAGGTACTGTATTTGATGACCTGGTTCTGTATTTGATGACCTGGTTCTGTATTTGATGACCTGGTACTGTATTTGGTGACCAGGTACTGTATTTGATGACCTGGTACGGTATTTGGTGACCAGGTACTGTATTTGGTGACCTGGTTCTGTATTTGATGACCTGGTTCTGTATTTGATGACCTGGTTCTGTATTTGGTGACCTGGTACTGTATTTGATGACCTGGTTCTGTATTTGGTGACCTGGTACTGTATTTGATGATCTGGTACTGTATTTGATGACCGGGTACTGTATTTGGTGACCTGGTACGGTATTTGGTGACCGGGTACTGTATTTGGTGACCTGGTACTGTATTTGATGACCGGGTACTGTATTTGGTGACCTTGTACTGTATTTGATAACCGGGTACTGTATTTGATGACCGGGTACTGTATTTGGTGACCTGGTACGGTATTTGGTGACCGGGTACTGTATTTGGTGACCTGGTACTGTATTTGATGACCGGGTACTGTATTTGGTGACCTTGTACTGTATTTGATAACCGGGTACTGTATTTGGTGACCGGGTACTGTATTTGGTGACCTGGTACTGTATTTGATGACCGGGTACTGTATTTGGTGACCTTGTACTGTATTTGATAACCGGGTACTGTATTTGATGACCGGGTACTGTATTTGATAACCAGGTACTGTATTTGGTGACCTAGTACTGTATTTGATGACCGTGTACTGTATTTGATGACCGGGTACTGTATTTGGTGACTGGGTACTGTATTTGGTGACCGGGTACTGTATTTGGTGACCGGGTACTGTATTTGATGACCAGGTACTGTATTTGGTGACCTTGTACTGTATTTGATGACCAGGTACTGTAGTTGGTGACCTGGTTTTGTATTTGGTGACCTGGTACGGTATTTGGTGACCGGGTACTGTATTTGGTGACCTAGTACTGTATTTGGTGACCGGGTACTGTATTTGGTGACCTAGTACTGTATTTGATGACCGGGTACTGTATTTGGTGACCTTGTACTGTATTTGATGACCGGCTACTGTATTTGATGACTGGGTACTGTATTTGGTGACCTTGTACTGTATTTGGTGACCTAGTACTGTATTTGATAACCGGGTACTGTATTTGATGACCGGGTACTGTATTTGATGACCTAGTACTGTATTTGATGACCCGGTACTGTATTTGGTGACCTAGTACTGTATTTGGTGACCTGGTACGGTATTTGGTGACCTGGTACTGTATTTGGTGACCTAGTACTGTATTTGGTGACCTGGTACGGTATTTGGTGACCTGATGTGATGACCTTGTGACCTGATGCGATGACCTAATGACCTGAGGTGGTGACCTGTCACTGTGATCTGTCCTTGTAGGAGAAGGCAAAGGAGAAACAGCTTCGTGAAGAGATGGAGAGGGAGATATTCGAGAAGGACCGACAGCTGCAGGAGTTACTCCAAAAACACCAGGAGGTAGGCAGCCCATGTCAGGCACCTCTGTCATAGCAATGATATTCAAATACTGTTCACTACCTACCTATGGAAGATTTGATTGATTTTTCCCCTGTCTACTGGACAGTTTGATTCAGGTTCTAAGAACTGGATCATGTTGAGATTCCCTTGCACATTAAGCAGTGTTTAACAAACCAATCAAATGCCATGAAATCACTTGCAATATGTTTATGAATTTGTAATTGTTTAATGAATGCATACCCATGTCTTCGTGGAACCAAGGTGCATTTTGGATTAAATATAATTGAAAAATGATTAGCAATATTTTTTATACTTTAATATGTCTATCAATGCTATCGATGGAGTAGTGCTCTATCAATGATAACTGTGGATATTTTACCAGTCATTGACTCATTGCCATCAGAGTATGGACCATTGCAATGCTTTGATGGTTTGATTTACTGCTTCTATCAGTCACTGAGCATTTTGTTTTTCTGTGACGTAGATGGAATCCCAGCTGGAGGTTCTCAATATGACAGAGACAGAGACAAAGCAGGAAAATGAAAAGTTGATGAATGTGAGTAAACTTGGTAAATGGAGCTCAATTCAAGCTGAAACCAAAAAGTCGCAAATATTCTAATACCCTATTTGACGTAATATGGCCCCGCTCTAATAAGTGCCCACGGTGATATTTGCTAATATATTGGCTAGTGAACAATCCCAATTAGCACCCCTTCCGATTGATCAATGTACACAAGACTTATTTATTCGTGTATAATACGCACTCGTGTGTTATATGCACCCTTAATTATGGGCAATCAAAATCTGGAAAACTATATCTGTCGTATATATAAACATTTCAGGCTGTCTGCATAAACCGCGAAATTTACGATCTTTCAACTCTGGTTTTTTCACCAAAGTTACCAATTATTATTCTAATAAGAGACCCCTATTTCTAATTTTGAGAACGCCCTGGGCACTTATTACGTCGAATACGGTAAGCCCTGTACATATTTATCCGTGTTAATCAGAGGCATGTTACTGTGATTTGGAGCCTCTTTTTGACAAATCACTTATTTTCCACAGTCATTGTGACCTATAAAGATCTGGGTTAGATTTTGTCTTCAGCAACCCATGCTTGTCGTAAGAGGTGACTATGCTGGTATATGATGCGACTAACGGGATCAAGTGATCATGTCACTTGGTTGATGCATGTCATCGTATCCCAATTGCGTAGATTGGTGCTCATGAAGTCAGTCACTGGATTGACTGGCCAAGACTCGATTATTTACAGACCACCGTCATATGGTGTTTATATATGCTGAGTGCTGCATTAATCAACAAACAAACCAAAGTAATTTGACAGGTAGTAATTCTTTCATTCTATCCATGTTACCCTCTGTAATACGTTGAGATGCATTTGGATGCATTGTGATGCGTTGTGATGCGTTGTGATTCGTTGTGATGTGTTGTGTTACGTAGTGATACGTTGTGATACGTTGTGATGCGTTGTGATGTGTTGTGGTACTTTGTGATTTGTTGTGATGAGTTGTGATGTGTTGTGGTACGTTGTGATGCATTGTGATACGTTGTGATGTGTTTCGATGCATTGTGATGCATTGTGATACGTTGTTATGCATTGTGATGTGTTGTGATGCACTGTGATAAGTTGTGATACATTGTGATGCTTTGTGATGCATTGTGATGCGTTGTGATACGTTGTGATGCATTGTGATACGTTGTGATGCATTGTGATGCATTGTGTTGCATTGTGATACATTGTGATGCATTGTGTTGCATTGCGATGCATTGTGATGTGTTGTGTTACGTAGTGATACACACTTGTGATGCATTGTGATGCATTGTGATACGTTGTGATACATTGTGATGCATTGTGATACGTTGTGATACGTTGTGATACGTTGTGATGCATTGTGATGCGTTGTGATACGTTGTGATACGTTGTGATGCATTGTGATACGTTGTGATGCATTGTGATGCATTGTGATGCATTGTGATACATTGTGATGCATTGTGTTGCATTGTGATGCATTGTGATACATTGTGATGCATTGTGATACATTGTGATACATTGTGATACGTTGTGATGCATTGTGATACATCTGGTCCAGGACAAGGAGAGGCTTGAGGAGCTGCTGATGACTTCCCAGGATAATCTGGAGGAGTCCAAGACGTACATCAACCAGCTCCGGGAACAAGACAAGCACCACACCAAGGAGAGAGCCAGGTAGACCCAGATGGATGTGTCTCCAATACACCTTCCTTTCTTATCAAACAGTCCTAGTCTCAAGTCAAGGATCAGTCAATCCCCAAGTTTCAGATCAGTATCTCTGCTTGCATCATAACTGAAGGAATCATTGTTGAAATTGATTTTGAACTTAGCTGACAGTCAGGATTATATCTGTAACCATGGAAACATATTTTTCCAATGAGTGTGTAGTTTTTATACTGATGATAGTGATAACGGTCAGCTTCCCCCAGGAGGGGTAGTGAGATGTACCGGTATTATAAAAGGCTGGGAGTAACAAGACGTTTGATGTTTATTCAGAATCATATATGTCAAAAGTGACAACTGAAATTCAGATATAGAAAACTGTTGTATGGGTAGAAACATTTTGATCACACAGCACAAGTGGCAGTAGCCTGGTGAGAGTCACTTGCGATAGTGATTGACTGATGATTGACTGATTCATGTTTTAGAGTTATATTCTGCTATTTTTAAACTTGAGTTTCTCCTTTCCTTTTTAATTTTATCATCATCAAATTTAGTTTTCAGTGTTTTTTTATTAAACTGAGGTTTTGGTTTATTTTGAAAACTGAGGTTTGGGTTCATTTTGAAAACTGAGGTTTGGGTTCATTTTGAAAACTGAGGTTTAGGTTTATTTTGAAAACTGAGGTTTGGGCTTATTTTGAAAACTGAGGATTGGGTTTATTTTGAAAACTGAGGTTTAGGTTTATTTTGAAAACCGAGGTTTGGGCTTATTTTGAAAACTGAGGTTTAGGTTTATTTTGAAAACTGAGGTTTAGGTTTATTTTGAAAACTGAGGTTTGGGCTTATTTTGAAAACTGAGGTTTAGGTTTATTTTGAAAACTGAGGTTTAGGTTTATTTTGAAAATTTTGCTTTGTATTGGTATTTGCTGTTTATTTTATTGGGTTTGGTCCTCCCTGTTGTTTTTCGGACAGTAGGGGAAAGTGTTTGCTGGTCACACTGTGGACCTGTGTTGGAATCAGACATGGGTATGCTCATTCTTCATCTCCCATGCCCGGAATATGGCTGAAATATTGCTGAAAATGGCACTAAATCCCTCAGTCCTACTGACAGCTGATATCATTCTTTCTCTGAAAGACTTTCAGGATTTGAACTGAGAGAACAAAGGGGAGGTAATCCTCTTATACGCAAGGGGAGACGACTCCAGGGAAATGATGAGCCTATTTCTGATAGCCGGAGGTGATTTTTCTTGTGGCAGAAGCTTTAGTATAGAGTTCATCAGAGTTCATCTTGTAACATTTAGAAAATGTAAAACGTAATATAGAAGAGGTGTTTGCACTAACATGACACTATATTCCCTACTTTATGCATAATAGTGTTTCCAGTGAAACAATGGCGGTGGGGTAGCCTAGTGGTTAAAGAATTCACTCATCACGAAAAGTCATGTTCGATTCCCCACATGGGTACAATGTGTGAAGCTCATTTTTGAGTCCCCTGCCATGTTTTTGCTGGAATATTGCTAAACCATATACTCTCTCACTCAAGTGAAGCTTTGGGAATATATGTCACATTCATATATTATATATGTATGTATATGATTTCTGAAAGTGTTTTTTTCCATGTCTATGATAGTTTAATTAAAATTCTTTTGACTTTGGATCAGCAAATCTGTTCATCATGAATCACAAGTGGTGGTGATTTTAGCAGAGTTTAACAAACATGTTGATCCTCTTTACAAATACCAGTAAACACTGATCAACCAGTCAATTAATATTCTGGCTGGTCTGGTTGTTGAGGTGAACTAGGTAATTTCAGTGAACCCAGTGAACGCCTCTGTGGTCTAGTGGTAGAGTGTCCACCCGGAGAGCAGAAGGTCTGGGGTTCGATCACCAGCTGCGTCATACTAATAGACGTTAAAAGATACTTGTTGTTACCCTGTCTGGCACTAAGGGGATTAAGGGGATAAAAAAAGGACTGGTCAGCTCGGGGTCAGGATATTATGTCTGAGTCGGGTATTCATGTTAAAATATGGCATGCTATCTCAGTTAGCTAGCTCTATAAATCGGCATCAGTCCGGACTAGTACAAGCAGCCACACACACACACACACACACACATGCAAGCACGTCACTATGTAAGTGCAATATTCTTGGACACAACATTAAACCCAGTGTCACCTCACTTAACCCAAATAATAGTTAATATCTTTAAAACAGACATTTTGTGTATGCCTTATGGGGATGCCAACTATCTTGTTTGCAATGTTCCTGTTAAAATGCATGCATAGTCCATAACTATATAATTGTGTCAACTATACATCACTTTCGTCTTCATTGTCCCTGTCGGGGGCAAGGGTGGCCCAGTCGTCTAAGGCGCCGCGATTCACTGTGTAGAGTTGCGTCCCACAAACCTATGATTGTGGGTTCGAATCCCGGTTCGCCCCGATTATGTTTCTAGGTTTGTGAGCACCATACCCGTGCTCGTGGGTTTCACCGAAGTGGTAAACGTCTGAGACCTGCATCACTTTGGGCTTTCCTCCCACATAAAGCTGGCACGCTGTGATGTAACTGGAATACTGTTAAAAGTGGCGTTAAACCCAACTCACTCTCTCCTTGTCCCTGTCTGTGTTTGCGCAGGTTCATTCGTGCTTATCATCTACCACAAGCTGTTGTCAACATATTTGTCAAACCCTGAGAAATAAAGCTATTATCAGATTGTTTTTCTTTGAGTACAATAATCCATCCTTTCAGAAATCATTTACTTCTGTTGATCACAGAGCTGCTTTATATAACCAGCCTTTGTGTAGGTCACAGTAGGAGCTTTGACTCACATGACATCATTAACATATATGTTTAGTAGATAGGAATACAGCATATACCTTATGAGTGTGCATGGAACATGTACATGTTTATTTGCAAGCTATATCCATGCTTCAAAATTGTGATGTTAACCTTAATTTTAACATTTGCTGCTTTGATTCGTTCTCTCTTGTGCTGTTAAAATTGGATGTAAATAAAATATTCAAGAGTCATAGAATTTAGTGTGGTTTTGATAATTTCTAAACAAATGTTGAACTATCTAAGACATAGAAATAGGATATTATTATGATCTTTTTTGTAATAATTCTGTGAAAAAAATATCATAAAAAATAACAATTTGTCGAGTAACTGTATTTCTGTTATTTCTTCATTGAAATAACCATGTAACAAAAGTGACATTTTTATGTATTTGATGAAATTGTTGCCAAAGTTTGCTGCATTTTGAATGGTGAAGGATTGGTTGTCATGGCAAGAACTAACACTAATATGATGGGCTGTTTCAGAGCTGCGATGAAGATGACGGAGGGCATCGCCATGGAGAGAGAGAGCTTAGTGAAGCAGCTCGACATGCTCAGGTAGGTTCATCCCTGAGTGGGAGGTAGCCCAGTGGTTAAAGTGTTGGCTTGTCATGTCGAAGAACTGGGTTTGATTCCGTACGTGGGTACAGTATGTGAAGCCATTTTTCTGTCATAAGTCGAGAATACTTTTCACAGCATAACTCACTCATTTGTGCAGCAACTAGCATGTCAAGAAGGAATTACAGTATATTGTAACAGTATTATAAGATACATCGCAATACGATTGCTTGCACAGGAAATGAACAACACATGTATGTGATGAAAAATTTAAATGTATTTCGTCAGGAAAGATTAACAACAATTGTGACAAGTTTTGTACAGTGAACATGTGCAATCACTGTTTAGTCTGTCCACTTGACTGAAACAAAGTGCCACTCTCACTTCAAGTTTGTTAATTCACAGTTTGGAGTGAGTAGTGTCATGCGGCTTTGATTTGTTTAACTGACTTTGATTAGCACTTTACGATGTAACCGGGCGTGCCACCATGTTTTTACTCAGGTCAACTCAATGTTTTATTTGTCAATAAAGATTACCATCACAATTGGATTAAAAGCTAAGTACATGATTGGTTGAACAATACGTTTAAATTGCACTGTACTTTTACAGCGATGTTAGATGTGTAAAGGAAAGGGTACTAGATACACAATTCTGTAGTAAAGTCACAGCTTGGATCGAGTCCAAGGTTTGATATATCGCTATGTATTTGTATTTCGAATTTGAGATAAGCAGGCAATTTCATATGTATTGATATTGTGAGGCATGTGGGATCGGAGAATAGGTTCGAGATGTAGGTACAATCGAGATAACTGTTTGGGATAATAAGGTTCGACTCTATATGGAACTGTGTTTGTCTTCCCAGGGATATGAACCGAAAATTGCGAGACGACAAGGACGAAGCTGAGGCAGCGGAATCAAGGCGGGTATTGTGTTTACGCTTCTGCTTCTTCTCTGCTTTGTCTGTCTCTGTATCACTAATCAGGGTTTCCTAACAACTACATGTATTGAAGAAAATATAACGATATGGCTTGTGGCATGAATTAAAATACTCATATATCAAGTTTAATTTGTAAAAATATTGGAAGATTGAATACTTATTTCAAAAGGATAGTATGGCTTATGGCATGATTTTAAAAATACAATTAATTTGTAGAAACTGTAACATTATGATTGATCAAAAGTGTCTTGACATGTTCTGTAATTGAATATTGATATATGCACATGCATATATTGAGAGGTAGCTTTAGTACAATGTGTTTTAGTATGTTCTTGATACTATTTTCTTGCAACTAACTGTGGTAACTGCAATTAATAAGTGTTGTATATTCGTGGCATGTAGCCTGCAAGTATGCCCCTATATGAGCTAGATTTACAAGATAATATCTTGCATGTAGTAAAGTAGTTGATCAGTGTTATAAACAACCAAGGACATTGTTGTAACATTTTCATCTTTAGAGTTCAGAAATTCTAAAATAATTGATTAATTTAAGATACTATTTCATTAACAGAAGAACAGAGTATTGAATTTAAAGTTGCGATCAATTTTTCAACAATATCAAACAGAAGGAATCAGTCGACTGATTTAATTGATAACAGTTTGAGGAGAATGTTACAACTTTATAATTGGAGGGGAGATAACTCTCAGAGGGGAGATAACCCTGGCAATGGATATTGTATTAACCTTCCACTGTGGCTATGAACTGCACATGCCTACATATTCTCCTTGTCAGGATCCATCCCCAAATGCGCTAGACCGAGAACTGTCTGAACAGGTATAATTTGTCATGAATATGCGCCTGGTAGTCGGGCGCTGGAGCACCTGTATGTGTGTTGTTCGCTGGTGTTCACACTTTTGTTGTCCACTTTAATCCCACATTCAGTTTGATTTTGTTGAATGTTGAAAAGATTCACAGACCCAAGAATGATTATGAAAACAGGATTTCCTAGTTCGATGAGTAATATTATGACTACTATATAATGAAAATTCTGGATTGGTGGATTTTCGATTAGGTTTGTTACCAGAAAGACATTTGTATTGTGACTTGACGGGGACACTGAAAGATAAATGGATTAAATTTTTTAATCAAGACATAGATAGAGACCTCAGAGTTGGAAGCACTCGAGTTATTTCATAAAAATATATTTTGCTTTCTTTTGAAAATACACCTTACAATATTAACATGACTTTGTAAACGTGTGACCATTTCTTTCTGAACAATGTGGCTATTTGATCATAATATATTTGTTATGTTTATTAAAATTTTGAATCATTAATAACGTATGTGTCAGGTACACTCTTATTCTTATTTTTTTCAATATGGAAACTAAAAGAAGGTATGTTATCTAGGAGTTGAGGGGCAGTGTGTTATCTTTGTATCTTTCTATTTGGGGTGTTTTTTCTACAGAAATTTTATACTTTCGTACCTTTCTTGCTTTTATTGCAGACTTCAATCTTTTTCCATGTATATTTTTTCCAATATATAGCAATACTAAAAAATGTGATATTTTTTCTTTTCCAGAAACATTTTTTCTTTTCTTTTGCACAAAAACATTTTCATTTTTATCAGCAGTTTCAGAGTTGCAGTAAATAGATGGAAATTATGATAAAACATTTGTTTGGGTCTATACCCCAGTATAAGTATAGAGAATTATGAACTTTTCAAGCCCTAAAGATGTATTTCTCATTACGTGTCTAAACACTGAAATTAAGTCTTACCATTGAGAACATTTATTTCTGTTAACACATGGATGGTCAATTGACCACATCTTGTTACGAGACCACGAGTCAATCAATCGCAATCTTGTTACCTTCACATGATTTCAAGCCTCTCTGTTGCTGTCAAGTTAAAAATAGTCAGCACAACATGGTCAGTCACATGACATTACAGACAGGAAGTTTACAAACATCAGATCAAGTTTGATTTAAATGTTGATCAGTGAAAAAGTAAGTTTCTATAGCTTATTGATTATCTTTCGTGGTGTAGCTTAATTCACAACATAACTTCAGCAGCAAGTGCCAAACACTTTCATGTCTTCAGTGGGCTTTGAAGCGTCTACCTTGATAACGTGTGGTAATAAGATAAATACTTGTTGTGAGGAAAACAGTATAAGTATGTACAGGTTAAAATGAGGTTGACAAACCAAGTAAAGCTTTTCTGCTAAGCTGTGCTATTTGAGACCAGGCAATACCTTACTTCACAGAATTTCTAGGACAATACTCCAAAAGAGAGTTACACAAGAATTTTTTTGTCAAGGTTGAGGTTAATTCAAACAAACTTTTAACGTAAATACAAACACTATATATTTACAAATCTATCAATTTTTTTTATTGAAAAAATCAGTAAATATTTTTCTTGCCCGATTAATCAGTAAAACAGTAGTACATGCAACATAGACTTCAGTAAAATCCATGTTTATCAAAAAAATCATTTTTGTTGGCACAGGTGATGAATTGACATGGTCATGTGACCTGGTGGTGGGATTCTATTTTCTTTACAACTTACCATTTCAGCTTTGACTATTGTTGGAACTGACGGTTATTGCATGATGCTGGCATATACTGGTCTATACTGGCATATACTGGTCTATACTGGCATATACTGGTCTATACTGGTCTATACTTCACAGGGACAGGTGTTATGGAATCTTTGATCTTCCAGTCTATTACATCTCCATTCTATTCTGATTAATGCCCTGGCCCCATTCATTATCATACCTTTTTGATGTTTGAACAGACATCCAATCAAATTACACCATGTTTGAAACAAGCAGCGATATCACCTGTATCTGACTGAGATACAACTGACATATCTTGGACTTCCCTCCTCAATCTCATGCTCATGCAAACGGAAAATGTTAATTTTAAACGGTCTTCTGATTCCAGTAAGGTATTGAGGCTATAGATGAGGCTATGATTTTGAATGTAGTTCTATACAGAACTCATACTCATCAGTTTGTTTGTTGTTTAACGCAGCACTCAGCAATATTGCAGCTATAAGACGCTGGACTGTAAATAATCAAGTCTAAACCAGACAATCCAGTAATTGATATCATGAACATCAATCCACGCAATTGGGATATGATTACATGCATCGACCAAGAGATAGGCTGTTTAAGTTACCGATAAAGGAGATGGAGTTGGTGCCGTCACTTCAAAATGAAACTGTGGTAGCAACTGGGCCCAGTAAGTATGTGTACTACTCAGAGAAAGTTTAAAAAACGTCGGATTTTTTCATATTACCATCGTTAGTCTTTCATGATTAACTCTTGTACATAATATGAAAGAATCAGGTGTTCCTTTACTTCTTTTGAGTAGTATAATAACTGAATGGAGAGATGATACACTGAACAATCGAGGATGGTGTTACGGCTATATCATACTAACTGTGCATGGGCTGGCTCTAATGATGCTATTAACATGTTTTGAATTTCTTTGTTATTTAGCCTTAATGTGACATTATCAGTTTGTAGTCATTTAAACATAGAGATACAGTAGTGTGTTTATGGAATAGTAGATCTTCATTCAGGTAACCATAAAAATTTTTTTCTTTCAATTGTAAACTTTGAGTGAGAACATTTGAAAACTTGAATGTTCAAGATGGCATCCTTGGAAAACATTCCTCAAGGCTACCTCTTCAGAAACTGGGAAACAGAGATGGAGGAGTGCACAAGTCATGCCTTGTGATGCTTTTGGTTGTTTTACGCAGCAGTATTGAAGCTTTATCTCGGCGGCCAGTAAATATTTGAGTCTGGGCCAGGCAAACCAAATGCTGTTAGAGCCAGCATCCCTCACTCTCTGGTACAATGGCCGCAGTCCGCTAAGTCCAGACCTGATCTTACAGTCCAATGCAAAACAAGAAAAAATGTGCTGGGCATCTGTTCTAACATCTTTGTGGGGGCAGATTAGTGATGTCTCGCATGTCTGATTATGTCGAGGTGAGGTGAAATGGGGTTTAACGTCGCGTTCAAGATTATTGCACTTATATAGCGATGTGTGTGTGTGGCTGCTTGTACTAGTCCGGACTAATGTCGATTTATAGCACACTGAGCTACCATGCCTCAGTTAACATGAATACCCCACTCAGACACAGTATACTGACTCCAAGCCAACCAGTCCTTGTTTTAGTCCATTAATGCCAAGTGCCAGGCAGGGTAACAACAAGTACCATCTTTTAAGGTCTTTTGGTGTGATGTTGCCAGGGACCGAACCCCGGACCTTCTGCTCCTCTGGGCAGACGCTGCACCACTAGACAGCTGAGGCGGTCTGATTAAATTGTGGATAGGGAGGTCAAAATGTGTGACCTTGGTAATTGAATGTCACCCAAAAATAATGGCTCATACTATCAACCACCATTATTAACAGGCCGCTGTTATATACCAGTAGCTTCAATAATACAGCCCACACCCATGACGTTTTAATGCCGTAATGTGGAGGTACTTAGTGATGGTGTACAATATACTGTTGTGGCTATTTTACTGAATAATTAAGTCTAGTTTAGGTATCTTGCTTGAGTGAGGCTTCTATATTGAAGTTGATGTTGTGAACGTTTAGGCACTTTCAACGACTGAGACTCTCCCGGACCGCAGTGACCCCATCGACCTCACTGACCGCAGTGAAGTCGGGCCGGTCAGGAAGAAACTCACAAAACAGGGCTCCGTCCTCTCTAACTACTTCCCCGGGTCTACAGACAGAAGGTAAGTAGCGACCCCTGTGAGGTCGCTAGCAAGCGAGTTGCGTCATCTTGCGAGTAGTGCCATCTAGTGAGTAGCTCCTCCTTGTGATAAGTGGCATCTAGTAAGTAGGGTCATCTAATGGGATCGCCACCTAGAATCTACCCCGGGGTATCATCTGAGAGCTCCAAGAAGCTACCCCGGGTTATAACAATGAGCTTGGAGTTCCAAGAATCTACTGCCGCCCTGTTTGATTTAAACATTTTTATTTCATGTATGATCTTGATCCCTTCTGGTCAATTGCTGTAACAACATTGTCATCTGATTAAGTTTACATAACTGCCTATTCAGTGCATATCCTGTTATTTAAATTGAGAAGACAAAGGTGGGAGCTCCCAGAATCTACACGGGTATACTCTGAAGGGGGGAAGATTTTGGCACCTTACACTGGGTTCGATTCCCGACAAGGGTACAATGTGTGAAGCTCATTTCTGGTGTCCCTCGCCGTGATATTGCTGGAATATTGCTAAAAGAGGCGTAAAACCACACACACACTCACTCACTCACTCACTCACTCACTCACTCACTCACTCACTATTCTCACTCACTCACTCACTCACTCACTCACTCACTCACTCACTCACTCACTCACTCACTCACTCACTCACTCACTCACTCACTCACTCACTCTAGACATGAATTGGTTCCGAGCTACTTATAGTGAAATGAATTCCACCAATTTACATTTTGTCCAGGTCCAATCCGAGGACCTCTGAGACGCTTTCAGAGGATGTAGACGGACATCTTGCGGACATTGACGATGACATTGAGTGTGATGAAGACGACAACTACAACAGTCATTCATTGTTATCAACTAATCTCAACTCTGTAAATGGATCTATGAATGAAGAAATGTACACTTCTCAAGGACATGATAATTCAATGTATGTGGAATCTGGATACAGCGTGAGGCAGCCCAATGGCAGGGATGTCAACTCCAGCGATACAGAGAGTGAAGCAGCAGCAAGGGGACATAACTCTAGGTAATCCTTTCTTGCCATAAGTGACCTGATTTAAATCTATGTCTGTTCCATTAAGCCAACTTTCTTATGATTGATTTGCAAAGCCACCAACTTAAAATTACTGAGGATGGGAACGCAAAGATATCCTTTCCAATGTTATAAACTACTGAAACCTCTTGACGATAATGGTAAAAGGAACTGGGTGTCCAATGGCAGATATTTCTTTTTTTCACGTAGTTATTCTTTTGTGTGGATTTCCCAAGATGTAGGGGATATAAATTTGTTCTTATGCTCTTTAAACAAAGGTTACAGGACATGCGTAGCCAAAACTGGCATGAACGTATATGTTCTTCACGTTTCCTCAGCCATTACAAGGCTATCATGTTAGCTATAGAACCAGAGAAGTATATAAGTGTGTTAGATGATCGCTTGTTAGGGTATAATGTAAATTCAGAGTGTCATTACACAATTGCAATGTAAATGTTAGACGTAGATGTGAAAAAGGGAGGTTGAAATAGGTAGCTGTGAAAACTGCCAATTAGGAGAAATTGAGGATGAATTTCATGTTTTATTAGTATGTGATAAGTATGAACATCTTGATAAAAATGTATTTTGATGTTTAACAATAGGCATAAAAACAAGATGTTAATGATCAGTGTTATCATCATTAGCCTTAGGGGGGGCACGGGTGGCCCAGTCGTCTAAGGCGCCGTGATTCGCTGTGCAGAGTTGCGTCCCTTGGGCACGCCAGAAACCTATGATTGTGGGTTCGAATCCCGGTTCTCCCCGATTATGTTTCTAGGTTTGTCAGCACCATACCCATGCTCGTGGGTTTCACCGAAGTTGTAAACGTCTGGGACCTGCATCACTTCAGGCTTTCCTCCCACATTTAGCTGACACGCCGTGATAAAACTGGAATACTGTTAAAAGGGGCATTAAACCCAACTCACTCACTCACTCATTAGCCATAGGCTTATTGTTGAAACATATATTCTCGGTCAGATCGTTTTTTACATATTATGCATATCAAATGACTAAACTAAATGTCAACTGTACAATGGGCCATGTGGCCTTAAATACTGAATAAAATATATAAAAAATTCAAATCCACCAACCATTAAAAATTACTTCCAAGAACTAATTGTGCGATTTTAGCCATAAGCCTGAGGTTGTCGAGATCCTGTTTGGTCTAGTGAGCTTGACTTCTTTAAGACACACTGGCAACATGTTTATACAAGTCATATATGGTGTGTTGTGATTAAGCACATAGTGTTCATGGTATTCATGTATGATATTTATTTATTAAAAAAAGATTTTTTCTCTAACTCGCTGTAATTTGTGCTTCCAGGTTAAAAAATGGTCATTCCCATAATGCATTTGTGGATGGTCTGCGTGGACAGCCAGTGGGGGCTACAGCAACAGTGGAGAGTGGTGACAGGGGACTTCAGCCAGTGAGAGAGAGACCTTTACATACACTGTCCTAGGTTTTAGACACATGACATTTGTGTCCTGAGGGGATTCTGGGTCAGAATAGGTCCCCAGCAACCTATGCTTGTCGTAAGAGACGACTTAAAGGATCGGGTGGTCAGGCTTGGTGACTTCATAGACTTCATGGTACCCTGATGTGGGTCTATGCTGACAATATTTATCAATCACTGGATTGTCTGATCCAGACTCGATTATTTACAGACCGCCGTCATATAGCTGGAATATTGCTGAGCGCTGCATTAAACAATAAATAAAAATAAAATTAGATTTCATGTGATATTTATGAATCAAAGCTGAGGTTTCGTAAGTATTCGCAGATTATGGAGGAAGATTGTGTGTGTGTGCCTGTGATGAATTGATGATATGTTTCCATCACTATACAGACCTAGTCGGGAACCCTGTATGATGTCTTCTGTCTTCAGGCGGAGCCGACCGGGCCGGAGAGGATATTCAAGGTCGTGTTTGTGGGGGACTCTGGCGTGGGCAAGAGCAGCTTTATATATCGGTTCTGTCACCGCAACTTCAAGCAGTCCTTCAGTGCCACTATCGGTAGGTTCCTTACAGCACCTTCAAGCAGTCCTTCAGTGCCACTATTGGTAGGTTCCTCACAGCAACTTCAAGCAGTCCTTCAGTGCCACTATCGGTAGGTTCCTCACCGCAGCTTCATGCAGTCCTTCAGTGCCACTATCGGTAGGTTCCTCACAGCAGCTTCAAGCAGTCCTTCAGTGCCACTATTGGTAGGTTCCTTACAGCACCTTCAAGCAGTCCTTCAGTGCCACTATTGGTAGGTTCCTCACCGCAACTTCAAGCAGTCCTTCTGTGCCACTATCGGTAGGTTCCTTACAGCACCTTCAAGCAGTCCTTCAGTGCCACTATTGGTAGGTTCCTCACAGCAACTTCAAGCAGTCCTTCAGTGCCACTATCGGTAGGTTCCTCACCGCAGCTTCAAGCAGTCCTTCAGTGCCACTATTAGTAGGTTCCTCACCGCAACTTCAAGCAGTCCTTCAGTGCCACTATCGGTAGGTTCCTTACAGCACCTTCAAGCAGTCCTTCAGTGCCACTATTGGTAGGTTCCTCACAGCAACTTCAAGCAGTCCTTCAGTGCCACTATCGGTAGGTTCCTCACCGCAGCTTCAAGCCGTCATTATGTGCCACTATCAGTAGGTTCCTCACAGCACCTTCAAGCAGTCATTACGTGCCACAATCGGTAGGTTCCTCACCGCAGCTTCAAGCTGTCATTAAGTGCCACTGTCATTAGGTTCCTCACAGCAACTTTAAGCTGTCATTTGGTGCCACTGTCAGTAGGTTCAAGGTCACAGCAACAGGATATTCAAGGTCGTGTTTGTGGGGGACTCTGGCGTGGGCAAGAGCAGCTTTATATACTGGTTCTGTCACCGCAGCTTCAAGCAGTCATTCAGTGCCACTCTCGGTAGGTTCCTCACAGCAGCTTCAAGCTGTCATTAAGTGCCACTATCATTAGGTTCCTCACAGCAACTTCAAGCTGTCATTCGGTGCCACTGTCAGTCGGTTCCTCACAGCAACTTCAAGCTGTCCTTCAGTGCCACTATCATTAGGTTCCTCACAGCAACTTCAAGCAGTCCTTCAGTGCCACTATCATTAAGTTCCTCACAGCAACTTCAAGCAGTCCTTCAGTGCCACTATCATTAGGTTCCTCACAGCAACTTCAAGCAGTCCTTCAGTGCCACTATCATTAGGTTCCTCAAAGCAACTTCAAGCTGTCATTTGGTGCCACTGTCAGTCGGTTCCTTACAGCAACTTCAAGCTGTCCTTCAGTGCCACTATCATTAAGTTCCTCACAGCAACTTCAAGCAGTCCTTCAGTGCCACTATCATTAGGTTCCTCACAGCAGCTTCAAGCAGTCCTTCAGTGCCACTATCGGTAGGTTCCTTACAGCACCTTCAAGCAGTCCTTCAGTGCCACTATCGGTAGGTTCCTTACAGCACCTTCAAGCAGTCCTTCAGTGCCACTATCGGTAGGTTCCTCACAGCAGCTTCAAGCTGTCCTTCAGTGCCACTATCGGTAAGTTCCTCACAGCAACTTCAAGCAGTCATTTGGTGCCACTGACAGTAGGTTCCAGACAGCAGCTTCAAGCTGTCATTGTTGCCACTGTCAGTAGGTTCCTCACAGCAACTTCAAGCAGTCCTTCAGTGCCACTATCATTAGGTTCCTCACAGCAGCTTCAAGCAGTCATTTGGTGCCACTATCGGTAGGTTACTCACAGCAACTTCAAGCTGTCATTATGTACCACTATCATTAGGTTCCTCACCACAGCTTCAAGCAGTCATTCAGTGCCCCTATCAGTAGATTCCCCACAGCAGCTTCAAGCAGTCATTGTTGCCCCTATCAGTAGGTTCCTCACAGCAACTTCAAGCAGTCCTTCAGTGCCACTATCATTAGGTTCCTCACAGCAGCTTCAAGCAGTCCTTCAGTGCCACTGACAGTAGGTTCCTCACAGCAGCTTCAAGCTGTCATTTGGTGCCACTATCATTAGGTTCCTCACAGCAACTTCAAGCTGTCCTTCAGTGCCACTATCATTAGATTCCTCACAGCAACTTCAAGTAGTCCTTCAGTGCCACTATCATTAGGTTCCTCACAGCAGCTTCAAGAAGTCATTTGGTGCCACTGACAGTAGGTTCCTCACAGCAACTTCAAGCTGTCATTGTTGCCACTGACAGTAGGTTCCTCACAGCAACTTCAAGCAGTCCTTCAGTGCCACTATCATTAGGTTCCTCACAGCAGCTTCAAGCAGTCATTTGGTGCCACTGACAGTAGGTTCCTCACAGCAACTTCAAGCTGTCATTGTTGCCACTGTCAGTAGGTTCCTCACAGCAACTTCAAGCTGTCATTGTTGCCACTGTCAGTAGGTTCCTCACAGCAGCTTCAAGCTGTCATTGTTGCCACTGTCGGTAGGTTCCTCACAGCAGCTTCAAGCTGTCATTGTTGCCACTGTCGGTAGGTTCCTCACAGCAACTTCAAGCTGTCATTGTTGCCATTGTCGGTAGGTTCCTCACAGCAACTTCAAGCTGTCATTGTTGCCACTGTCAGTAGGTTCCTCACAGCAACTTCAAGCTGTCATTGTTGCCACTGTCAGTAGGTTCCTCACAGCAACTTCAAGCTGTCCTTCAGTGCCACTATCGGTAGGTTCCTCACAGCAGCTTCAAGCAGTCATTGTTGCCACTGTCATTAGGTTCCTCACAGCAGCTTCAAGCTGTCATTGTTGCCACTGTCATTAGGTTCCTCACAGCAGCTTCAAGCTGTCATTGTTGCCACTGTCGGTAGGTTCCTCACAGCAGCTTCAAGCAGTCATTGTTGCCACTGTCAGTAGGTTCCTCACAGCAACTGCAAGCTGTCATTCGGTGCCACTATCAGTAGGTTCCTCACAGCAACTTCAAGCTGTCATTCGGTGCCACGACATCTCTCACCATCCAGCACATGACTGTGCACTACAGTGGAGGGGGAAGATGTGTGAAGTTCACATCCACATCTAGATTCAGCGTTATTTATTTAGTAGAAACTGCTGCCACAGAAGATATCACTTGTGAAAGAAGGATGTATTCTTTCCTGATCACCCTTTTGTCAGTTGAGTAAGCAGGTCAGAGGTTCACATGACTACCTTTTGCTGAAAGCAAAGTTTTAATAATGTACATCAGTAGCACTGTGATGTGAAAACTATCAAACTACCAAACTGCTGAGACTGCTTGGACAGAATGGTGCAAATGTTGTAAAACCTTTTTACAGACACATTCTTGGCACATCCTGCTTCCATTTCTCAGGCTAAAAGAGTTTGAAATTTTAAGATCAGTGTCCATTAATGGCCCTAAAATGTAAACTTCTATCCTGGGCTGTGATATTTGGGATATCTGTTCTTCTTCAAACACAGGAGTCCATCTGTGGGTCCACAACACTTCATTTATGATATAATAAATCATACAGCATCTATACAATCATGATTATGACAACGAGACAGACATGGCCAGGCAGCGTCTCAGAGGCGTCAGAGAGCCAACCGGCGTAGCCGCTGTCCGAAGGTCAAGTCCCGCCTAACCGAAAGTATTCTAATTTTAACCAGTCAAATCACTGACCAGCTGCCACGTATCGAATACGATACATCTCTGGTCAGCCTGCAGTATCCCACACCTCATTCACAATGTTAAGCTTCAGTGGCCAACTGGCCATTCTCTATAGTGTTAATTAGGAGCCACTGACCTGCACATGACTCTGTGCTGTTGGCCATAGTTATAATAGCCCGGCTGCTGTTATAATTTGTATTGGGCAGCACTGTGAATATTTATCTATATATATTTAACTTATTTAACTCAGGGAATATATAAGACATATATAAACTCCCTGTTAAAACCTATACCCTGACAAACTGCCTACGATACTTCCCATCAACAATAGCTTACAGATCAGGATGTGCATCCCTTGCAAGCATATGATCCCGCTTTTACAAAATGTTTGATGAAGTGTTTGATATGGTCCCCAGGTGTGGACTTCCAGATCAAGACTATGATGAGTGAGGGGAAGCTGATAGCTCTGCAGCTGTGGGACACCGCTGGACAAGAGAGGTGGGGGTCATATCATGTTGCATATTTCTCATTCCCACTGGTGGTTGAAAGATTGAGGAAAACCTGTGTTAGCTCACGTGATTGAAAGTCAAGTGAGCTTATGTCATAGCCTGTGTGGCTGTTGTGCATTGTTAGCTCACCCGATTGAAAGTCATAGCCTGTGTGTCTGTTGTGCATTGTAAACATCTAAGAAATCAAGGAACCGATGCAGCTGGAACTCCTCATGGTCCTTCACATCAGTGATGGGGGGCACGGGTGGCCCAGTCGTCTAAGGCACCTCGATTAGCTGTACAGAGTTGCGTCCCTTGGGCACGCCAGAAACCTATGATTGTGGGTTCGAAGCTTGGTTCGCCCCGATTATGTTTCTAGGTTTGTGAGCACCATACCCGTGCTCGTGGGTTTCACCGAAGTGGTAAACGTCTGAGACCTGCATCACTTCAGACTTTCCTCCCACATTAAGCTGACACGCCGTGATATAACTGGAATACTGTTAAAAGCGGCGTTAAACCCAACTCACTCACTCAACTCACTCACTCACTCACTCACTCACTGTTGTGACAGTATTCTCCTTCTGTTGTCATTACCTACTCATGTTATCCCACTCATGTATGCAATTGATGTTGCTGTTAATCTTCCACCTACTGGGGCGGTCGGTTGGCCTAGTGGTTAAAGCGTTCGCTCATCATGCCGAAGACCCGGGTTCAATTTCCGACATGGGTACATTGTGTGAAGCCCATTTCTGCCGTGATATTGCTGGAATATTGCTAAAAGCGGCGTAAAACCAAACTCATTCACTCACTCCTCCACCTACTGTATATTTTCTGTACAATGTTCCTCATTCAGTCTTGCTTGACAACAGTATACGTCGCCTTTACAGTATTAAAGAAATTGTTATCCATAAATTGTGTCTACTTTGTCCTATGATAATAGTTAATCTATCATTGCATGATAGAATCATGTTGGTCTTAACTTTTTTCAACTCACACGTAACTGAAACACCTTTTAAAGCAATGTTAATCCCTAGTCATTCAATCCCTTGCATCACCATTGCTCTGGTCCAGGTTTCGGAGCATCACCAAGCAATATTTCCGGAAGGCGGATGGCGTCATCGTCATGTATGATGTCACATCCGAGAACTCCTTCGTCAACATCCGGAACTGGATGAACAGTGTCAAGGTAAGTGACACACTTTACCATCACCATCCAGTGGCTGCCATGTTTAGCCTGTATCCTTAATGTAACCAAAATCATATTAGCTGAAATAAATAAATAATATACCGGTAGTCCATAATTTATTATTTACTAGTAGGGCTGGGACGGGTAACTCAGGTACTTGGGTTGGGTGGGTCCTGAGTTGGACCCGGTACCCACATGACTACCCGGACCCGAGGTTAGTCACTTGATAAATTGTTTAATGACAATAATTATCAAACTCCGTGGTTACACAACAAGTCTCTAAATGTTCTCATACACTTGGACTCAGCCCAGCCCTAATTACCAGATTATTAGATTATTAGACCCGTCCACCTAGCCCACACAGTCTGTTTTTGTCCCCAATGTTTTAAAAGCTGTGAGAAAACTGTATAACCAAATAGGACATAACTGCAGTTACATTGTTGGTGCGTGTGTGTGTGTGCGCGTGTGCATGCGTCAATGTGGTGCATGTCAACATGACAAAGGGAGATCACTCTGTATATCATCTTATAGGAAGGAGTGGATGACGATACGGTCATTGTGATCGTGGGTAACAAGATGGATCTCGCTGAAAACGACAACAAACGTGTCATCAAAACTAAAGATGGCATTAAGTTTGCTGATGTAAGTACGAACTATGATGTCCGTTTTTCTCCTTATTGACCTAACTATTCTAATACTAAAGATGGTTGCATGGCAACGATGGCGGTCAAGTCATCTACGTTGCCACTGTTCACTGTACAGAATTGCATCCTTTATGTGTATCAGGAACTTATAATCATGGTTTAAGATCCTATGTATGCATGATCATGGTTTAAGATCCATGTATGCATGATCATGGTTTAAGATCCTTTGTATGCATGATCATGGTTTAAGATCCAATGTATGCATGATCATGGTTTAAGATCCCATGTATGCAAGACCATAGTTTAAGATCCATGTATGCACGATCATGGTTTAAGATCCCATGTATGCACGATCATGGTTTAAGATCCTACATATGCATGGTCATGGTTTAACATCCTATGTATGAATGAGCATGGTTTAACATCATGTATATGCAAGGTGATGGTTTAAGATCATGGTTTATAAATCACTATGACAATAACATGTTCAACACTGCTATTACTATATTGCAAGGCTTGTCTTGCAGGAGTATGGTGCTCTGTTCTATGAGACCAGTGCTAAGATAGGGAGTGGTGTCACAGAAACCATGGAGGCCCTAGCATGGTAAGTATGTTATATTGGATATAAATATTCTATTTGCAGGTTTGTGGGTAAGTAATCATACAACGTTATGGATGACTACTTCTGGTTTTTTTGTATGGACGATATATCCATGTTGATTCCATGGTTTTCCAGCTTGAGAGCCAAGAAGAGTCTACCTTGATGTAATGCCAATAAACCAGAAGTTCTCATCCGTAAACATGGATGGTTTTCTTATTTACTCCCCAACTTAAGGAATGCCAGACAAACAGTTAGCCTTGAAGGTGTGGCCAGGACACACAATTTGAAGCCAATGGCATTAGCTGGTCTATGGGGGGTTTCGTGACCAACTGAATAACTGGCATGAATTGGCCAATCGGCCTGAATAAGAAATCATGATTCTCAGTGAGAATTACTGAAATAACTGCTCCAGTAGCCTTACCCCTATGGGTAATATGTGAACACTATTGTCCTGGCTTTGGGAATAGTTCAGTTATGTCCTGTAGATGTTCACTGTGTCATCTGCTTGGTGTTCCAGTGTCCTGAGGGAGAAGTGCCCCTATGGGTAATATGTGAACACTATTGTCCTGGACTTAGGAGTAGTTCAGTTATGTCCTGAAGATGTTCACTGTGTCATCTGCTTGGTGTTCCAGTGTCCTGCGGGAGGAGTGCCCCTATGGGTAATATGGGAACACTATTGTCCTGGCTTTGGGAGTAGTTCAGCTATGTCTTGTAGATGTTCACTGTGTCATCTGCTTGGTGTTCCAGTGTCCTGAGGGAGAAGTGCCCCTATGGGTAATATGGGAACACTATTGTCCTGGCTTTGGGAGTAGTTCAGCTATGTCTTGTAGATGTTCACTGTGTCATCTGCTTGGTGTTCCAGTGTCCTGCGGGAGGAGTGCCCCTATGGGTAATATGGGAACACTATTGTCCTGGCCTTGGGAGTAGTTCAGCTATGTCTTGTAGATGTTCAGTGTGTCATCTGCTTGGTGTTCCAGTGTCCTGCGGGAGAAGGAGGATAAGTCTATTGAAGCTGCCCTGAGGCTGGAGGCCGGGACAATCAAGAAGAAAGGATGCTGTTCTTGATAGAAAGAAGAACATGTAAATGGCTGGGGTGGGATACAGAGGGGAGACAACTGAGAGTATTACTTGAGGGGAGATAACTGAGATTATTGATAGGGGAGATAACTACGAGGGGCTGTAACTGATTGATATCTTGCAGAAAGGGAGACTACTGATTGATATATTAGAGGAGGGGAAATATGTGTTTGATATATTGCAGGAAGAGAGATACCTAATTGATATATTACAGAAGAGGAGATAACTCTCTGATATATTACAGGAGGGGACATGACTGGGAGATATAAGGGAGAGAACTGATATTACATAAAGGGCTATAACAGTGATTATTACTGGAGGGATATAAATTGATTATTGTATGAAGGGAATAACTGAAAGTGAAATAACTGATATTGTGGAAGGGGACGCTACTGTTACCTCATGGTAGTTACAGAATGAAGGAATGAACTTCAGTGAAAAGGTCACTTTCAAATGTCAGACCATCAACAATGGCAGCAATGTTGAACTCTCTGAGGCTGAGCTTTGACCCAGATTACAGGTTAACATTGAACTCTCTGAGGCTGAGCTTTGACCCAGATTACAGGTTAACATTGAACTCTCTGAGGCTGAGCTTTGACCCAGATTACAGGTTAACACTGAACTCTCTGAGGCTGAGCTTTGACCAAGATTACAGGTTAAAATTTAATCCATCTCACAGACACTGAGGTTAATCAATGAGTATTTGCATGCGGTATACTCATTGTGTTGATCATGGAACTTTGACTGTGTCAACATCTGAAGAAATCCGGACTAAAATGGTCTTCCAGGGTATGAGTAGTTGTGATGGAAAAGATAAAAGGACTGTTCATGAATCTTCTTCAGAACCAAGAACTGTTCCTCAATCTCCTCCAGATCCCAGGACTGTTCATCAATCTCCTCCAGAACCCAGGGCTGTTCATCAATCTCCTCCAGAACCCAGAACAGTTTCTCAATCTCCTCCAGAGCCCAGGACTGTTCCCCAATCTCCTCCAGAACCCAGAACTGTTCCCCAAACTCCTCCCGACCCAGGGCTGATCATCAATCTGTTCGAAAATCGCCTCCAGATCCCAGAACAGTTTCTCAATCTCCTGCAGAACCCAGAACTGTTTCTAAATCTCCTCCAGATCCCAGGACTGTTTCTCAATCTCCTCCAGATCCCAGGACTGTCCCTAAATCTCCTCCAGAAATCAGGACTGTTCATCAATCTCCTCCAGATCCCAGGACCTTTCATCAATCTCCTCCAGATCCCAGGACTGTTGATACACCTCTTCCAGTACAGCACCCAGTATGAATGTCCACAATTGCCAGACTATCTTGATATGTGTGAAATTATGGACTACAAGCTACTGTTCGACTTACAGACAACCTGAAAAAGTTCTTCATTGTATCAAGTCATGCAGAGTGTGAGAACTTTACCTTCCACATGAACATTGACTCTGTGCTCTCCATCCCATAGTATGGGAGTCTGCCATTGCTGAAGCGTCTTCACTGGATGTAGTTTTCAAGTTGTGTCCAGATTTCACAGGTTTGAAAGAATTTCATAGATATAGAGTTAGAAATCCATCCTTGTGTTACACTTTGTATGGTTAATTCATTTTATATTAAAACATTAACCAGTGGAATCACTAAATGTGCAATAACATGTATGTTTTAGTCATTGTATATAGTACTCTGTTTATCGGAATGAAAGTCGCCATTTAGCTGTTTGTCCTGAAACGTTTTAGAGACATCTAGGTCGATTGTTTCTGTCACAAGATCATGATGTTGTAGATGATATTTTAGCGGCATTGATTCATCGGCTCACAACATCATTCCAATGCACAGTACATGCAAGTGTGTGACAAAATGTTGAACGTTTGTGTACATATTTACCACGTAGCCTTACATTGTCCGTTTTATTCTGTATTTGTACATATCAAGCACAACATTTTATGTGCACAGAGATGTTTTGTGGTGCTTGCATGAACATTGCTGGACCAAGATCATGTTCTGAAAACATTGTTGAGTTTTGAGATATTTTACCAAATTTTATTCAAAGCCATTTTGGTGAAGGAATAAACCTATTTAAAAAACAAATATTTATTGTTTTTCCTTTTAATATAGGTGAGGTGAGGTGAGGTGAATTTGGGTTTAATGTCGCGTCCAAGATTATTGCACTTATATGGTGACATGCATGCACGTGTGTGTATGGCTGCTTGTTCAAGTCTGACCTGATGCTGGTTTATAGTGCTAGCTCACTGACATACCATGCTGCAGTTTAACATGAATACCCTGCTCAGACACAGTGTACTGACTCTGAGCTGACCAGTCCTTGTTTTAGCCCCTTAATGCCGAGCGCAAGACAGGGTAACAACAAATACCATCTTTAAACTGACCGCCCATGTGGTCTTGTGGTAGAGCGTCCGCCTGGAGAACGGAAGGTCCGGGGTTCGATCCCCGGCCGCGTCATACAAAAAGATGTTAAAAGATTGTACTTGTTGTTACCCTGTCTGGCGCTCGGCATTAAGGGGCAAAAACAAGGACTGGTCGGCTCGGAGTCAGTATACTGTGTCTGAGTGGGGTATTCATGTTAAACTGCGGCATGGTATCTCAGTGAGCTAGCACTATAAATCGGCATCAGTCCTGACTAGTAAAAGCAGCCACACACACACATACACGTGCATGCACGTCGCTATATAAGTGCAATAATCTTGGACGCGACGTTAAACCCAATTTCACCTCACCACCTCACCATCTTTAAACTCTCCGGGTGGCGATCTGCCACAAGGCCATGGAGGCAGTCTCCTTTTAATATAGATGTGAACATATTTTTATGAAGTTGAACCTAAGTGTTGAGTGAGTGAATGTTGGTTCACTATAAGAAATATATTTTGTTGAAGTCATGATGTCAAAGTCAAGAGTTGAGTGTTTGTTTGATGTTTCACTCCACACTCAGCAATATTCCAGCTATATGGCGGTGGTCTGTAAATAATTGAGTCTGGACCAGACAATCCAGTGATTAATATCATGAGCAACGATCCACACAATTGAGATCTATGACATGCATCAACCAAGTCAGTGAGCCTGACCACCCAATCCCGTTAGTTGCCTCTTACGACAAGCATAGTCGCTCTCATGACACCATGGGTTGCTGATGACCAATTTTACCCCAGATCATCACGGGTCTCCTGTTTAACTGACAAAATGAGTACGGACATGATTAAGTTATTGAAACTTTATTCAATGAAAAAGTAATGAATTAAATGGACATCTAGATGGTTGAAAATTTACAACATCGTGCAAAGATCACAATTGTTGAATTTGTGTACAAATATTGTATCTGATGTGCAAAAATATATTAGGTGAAAATGTCCGAAAATCCAACGCTATGTAACACAGAAGTCTGAATGCAGAAATGGTATTTAATTATAAATAATAAATATATTTGATTGAAGTCAAGACATCATCTGATGGTCAAACAACACAGCTAACCCTTCAGTTCATAACAGATCTTATGACAACCTGTTGTCAAAATGCTTGGGACTTGAACTCACATCCTTCACTTTGGCTTAAATTCAATCTCATTAAAATCAGATTTTAGTTCTCGCTGCCGCTAAACAGAGATCTGAGGACATCTCATTACGTGTCACGTCAGACCGACCTTTCGCCAACTCTGACCGACCATTGGAATTGCTGACAATAAGTCGACATTAGCCAATCAGAAGGCAGCTTTTTCGTGCTTTATGGCACCAATTTCAAACTGGCGACTACGCTTCGAAACATATTTTGACAAATTCTCGCTTAAACATTTGAAACCTGAACAAAAGAACATTCTCTAATGGCTAACATATGTTCTAGATTGTATAGATTCAGTCGTTAAGCTCGTAACTATCGTTTTAAAGTTTGAGGCTGCATGATTGGAAATCACATTCCGACTGTCACTTTCATGATCTCGTAAGCGACGCTCTGATTGGTTGGATGAAAGGTCGTTCTGACGAGAACCCTAATGGGATGTCCTCAGATCTTTGTTTAGCGGTAGCGAGAACTAAGATCTGATTTTAATGAGATTGGCTTAAATTAATACATTTGTTATAATGAGGAACATGTAAACTGTAGCGATCAACAAGTGGAGATTATGAAATGTGAAAATATACATTTGGGGTACCGTATTCGATGTAATAAGCACCCAGGGCGCTCTCAAAATAAGAAATAGGGGGCTCTTATTAGAATATTATTTTGGGGAAAAAAACAGAGCTTAAAGATGAATTTCGTGGTTTATGCTGAAAACCTGAAGTGTTAATGTACGACAGATATATTTTTCCAGAATTTTTTTGCCCATAATTGAGGGTGCATAAAACACACGGGTGCATATTATACATGAATAAATAAGTCTTGTGTGCAAGGGGTGCTAATTGGGATTGTTCACCAGCCAATATATTAGCAAATGTCGCTGTGGGCACTTATTACATTGAATACGGTATCTATTATTTAGCACGTTCAAGATTGGTTATTCTTTGACATCTAAATTTCTATATTAAAAAATAACTTCATTATCAGCACCATACATATGACAGTGTTCATCGTACCGGTATTTATTTCCAGCTACAATAACTTGGCAGTTTGGTTCAAAGTATATACTGTAGTCATTTTATATATCTCTTTTCTGGTTTCCCTCCATAACTGCAGCAGTCATCAAATATTTCGTAGGTTTGAGCATAAAATGACAAGAAAATTACAATTACATTTGATTTGAGTCTTCATGTATCAACCAATAGCCATTTTGATATTGTTGCTAAGGTTACCACTACATGATCTACTCCGACCATCCTCTTGTATTTGGTTCGAAGACAATTACCTAAGCTTTAGGAAGGTACTCTTGCAATGGACTCAGCAGCTGGTGGAATTGTTTCTTCCATCTGTCCACGAAGAGTTGCCGTATACACAGAAAAGTATGTTAGATACAAGGCAAATGTGTTCTTAACTCTGTTATGAAAGGTAGAAAAATAGATAAGGCAAAGGTCATAGGCCAGGGAAAGATTATTTCTTGACTGCTAAAAGCAACAGCTCCTTGGAAAGACACAAAGGCATGTTTCAGATAAAATCCAGATTTCCAACTTCCAATGCATGCACTCCTTCAGTGAGGCAATAAGGACGCATGTGAATCTATGTCTTCAAGAGATTGCTGTCATCCAAATTATCTCAATAAGGCTAAAAAAACAAATAATAGTCTTGGTTCTCAGGCACCACCCGCATCATCATAAAGTTCGCCGCACATTTCGTTTTTATTTCAATTTTTTTTTTAAATATCTAAAAAATCCTTAAATATTCCAAGTCCAAATAAATTTATGTAGGGAGGCCCTTTCCTAGGTTGAATGTACACAATTATTTTATTGATTACACAACTGTTTATTGTTTACATACTAGTGTGAACAACCAAAAAAAAGAAAAAACCATTGCCTGAGAACCAATTCTTTTATTTTTCTAACTCTTTGCACAAAACTGAATTAGTGGTTAGTCAGGCATTAGCGGACAGGATAAAGCCAAGAAGATAACATGTGTCATCCAAATTATCTTGTTTTAAATTATTTAGCAACAATTTGATTTTATATTCTAAATTTTATTTCAACATTGTTGAAAGATCACCCTGTGAACAGTCTCAAATTCAAATTAACTTTGAGTATATAACAAAATATTGTCTCAACAATATTAAATACTTTGATAATATTATCAACAATACTGATATATAAGCCAGCTACCATTACTTGAAGGTTGTCATGGCAGCCATGTTGAAAATCAGATTCAACAAATTGGCATGACAACCATGTGATGTTGCAGCTTCATTGGTCCAGTGGTTTCTGAGATGTTATTAACACACGATGGACAAACAGACCATGACATAAGCAGATAAGCCCACTTGATTTTCAATTCATTTTAAAAAAATGAAAGCAGACTAGAATAACTTCTTTTCAATTTGAAAATGAGACCTGATTAAATATTCATTCATAACATATAATTAAAAAAATCCTTAAAAAGGCATAAAATTTTAGTTTTAAACATTGTCAAAGAGGAACAACCATAATAATAAAAACACAATATCAATAATAACACCCAGCAGACCTTTATGTATTTCAATCTGGACAGAGGAATCTTGCAAAGGATAAGGGCCCTTTTTGGCTCCCAGGGTCTTGCCTAATTTTATAATTGAGCAAAACCTTTAAAAATTGTTACAGATTAATATGCATGAGGCATTAATTGTGATTTTAGGTTTTCAGCAAGAAATTGTCTAATATTTCAACAGGAGCAAGTCTTTGCCTCAAGCTGATTTCATAGAAGCAGGCAAAAAGTGTAACAGCAGATGGTAAAAAGATCATGTTGGGTCAGAGACTTGCTCATACAACAGGAAGTCGACGTTAGCCACTTAGAAAGCAGCTTTCTTAAGCTTTGGGTACCAGTTTCAAAGTTGCGACTTCCATTCCAGACTATGCTTTTTTAAAGTATTTTGAATCAGTCATACAGTCCGTAACAGTTGTTTTGTGTTAAACTTTAGAGGTTGCATGATTAGAAAACATATTCCGCCAACAAAGTAACATAACAATATGAATATATATTTTATATTTTTTATTACGTGTTTGAATCCTTATCTATCCGACATAATCATATGCAACCATCAATGTTGGATTAACGGGACTTGACTGTAGTTGGTTTTTCAATTGAAGTTTGACAAAAAAGGCTTTTTCACTCGTTTTAGCTGATGTACACAATGTAATAAGTTCAAAACATGCCAGTGTAAGAAAGAAAAAAGGACTGATGTCAGATGTTATATTATTTTGATACCAATATTTCAAAGTTTTCTGCATATATAATTTCAAGTGGACGAAATAAGGGCTCTTATCCATCATCGTCTTTTTCATTTTGTACATTAGGATATGATTGAGTGAATGTTACAGCGAGGCTTGGAACAATATTTCCTTTATATCAGTGTTACTGTTTATTGTGGGAGGAACGCTTGAAGTGATGCAGGTTCCACAAGGTCAAGAATGGTGCCAACACAACAAGGATCCTAAACAGGGTAAATCTGGGATTAAAAGCCATGATCATCAGATCCTGAACTGGGTAAGGGATGTAACTCTGCACAGTGGTATGACAGGTCTGATGAGTGAGTGAAAAGGCTTATGCTGATTGCACCATTATTCAAGTCAGGTGGCACCAAAAGTAGGGGAACATGTGGTTGAACTGAAGATGTTTCAGCCACCCTGATTGAATCTTGTGGAAAATGCTAATGGTTCCATCAAAGCACTTTAGAATCTTGTGGAAACAGTTCAATTTCCATTAACCATCTTGGAAACCTTGTGTAACCATTAGAGTTAAATAAAATCAAACCATTTGGGAATCTTGTGGAAATATTTAAGTTTTCATCAAACCTTACTGGAATCTCATGGAAAATCTCCCATAAAGAAACATCAAGATGGTAAGCAAAGGCACGACAAAACCAGACAACAACGTGCAAATACTGGAACTTGTAAGAAAGTCTCAACACGGGAATAGAAACCGATAAATATAAAAATCTTAACCATAAACCTCTTCAAATGCAAGCTTCTTGCTAGAGATATAAATGTAGGTATATAATGTAACAATCAACACACATCACATTCAAGAAAGAGGAACCTAATCGCCATCCCATCTTCAGATCCATTAGAATCAGTTCTCTTTCATCATGCCATGAAACTAAGAAAATGTATGAATTTGTTACACGCCCCAGACAATGTTACAATAGAAATATTGTGTGTAATATTCAAGAATTCCGTCTACAATAAATGTACTTTGAGAAACCAAATTGACTTGTACTTTGAGAGAGAGCTACACCATCTCCGTAACCATGGAGTTCAGGGAACGAGTACCCAACACCTACAGTTACAGAACTCTAGGCCTTTGGCCTTATCAGTACCAAAAATCTAGATTGATTGGAGTCAATTCTTGACAGTTTCTCCTTCATCATACTCTGGCTCAACAGTTGGCCCCATCCTCAACAAAGCATGCTCCAAGAAAATTAATATTGTGAGTCAGTTTTACACATAACATGCTTAGAAATATTGAGTATAAAATCAAGAAATTATTAGTTACAAGAGAAAGTTTTCCTAAAAGTGAACAAGTTACTCTCCATTTCCAAGAGACTTGTTCTGATTTTTTTTATTTCCCTAAACAGATAATCAACACCTTTTAGTTTTGTTTTAGATTTGTGAAATTTGGAAGCATTTAGTCCATAAACATGAACCACAATGTGAACAATGAACCAAACAAATTATAGTTGTTAGGAAAGTATCGAAAAGGGCACAATGTGACATTAAGTCATCTATGTGCTAAAATACCTGTCTTAGAAAAAGCTAACTACTCTGAAGGCAGATCACCTGACCTGAATGAGCGAGTGACCACAAAGCCGCTTTGAAAGCATTCCAGTCATATCATGGCGCATCAGCTTGACATGGGAGGAAAGCCCGAAGTGATGCAGGTCTCAGACGTTTACCACTTTGATGAATACCCGAGCACGAGTCTGGTGCTGACAAACCAAGAAGTATAATCAAGGTGAATGGGATTCAAACCCACAATCATAGTTTTCTGGAATGCCCAAAGGACACAACTCTGCCCAATGAATTATGGCGCCAAAGATGATGGAGGACAAGCTCTCCAGAACCTTGGAATCAACATAACCTTGGAATCAACATAATCAAAGATACTGGTCACTGAAATATGGGATCAGACACCATGTGAGCTCACTTGTCTAAATTTGAGGTTGATTAAGTTTAATACCAAACCTGTTCCATATGATTGTAAAATACCACCAGCCTCAAACACATGGGCCTATACCAGGTAACCCTACCAGTCTGTAAGACATTTGACTAGACACAAGCTTCAGGGTATATTGAATGTCAGAGTATGGATTCAGGCTTGAGGACTGAAAGTTTCCAGGGATTTTTGGCCCAGGTCTTCAACAAAAGTTGGAATATATTCCCCAAATGAAACAAAATATTTCCAGGTTCAGATTATTCAAATTTATGACGCACCCTGGGAAATGTTTTAGTTTTGTAATCTTACTAAAATCTCACGCGACCAATTGCATGAATTAGGCCACACATTTATTATTTTTCATTTCATGGGCCCGCCGCCCCTACTGAAAAGCAGCTGGAAAAGAAATAAATTAAACATAAAAATATTTATTTTTATTATGCCTCCTGCTAGTAATATAGACCCTCTTGTACAATATATAACATTATATATAAATTCCATGTCCTTACCACTATCAGTGATTCAAGAGGCCACCTGTAGTTTTATCTCCATGGCAGAATGACTTTCATAAAAAAAATAAAAATGATTGACATAGCTATTTATTTTTATTTTGACCAACCTTGTGTGGAAAAGCTGGAAATAAATCTGTGAAACATAAAATTAAAAATGTGTGGCCTAAGAGAAAAACACAAAGGCTTACATTATTTTACTGAAGACAATGCTTTACCATGGACACTTTGTTGAAATTCCAGATAAATTCCAAGAGTTACAATGGTTACGGTTTAATAAGAAAAATGAACCTCTGATTAATGACATGTATAAAAATTCAGGTTTTAGCTGGATATATAAACCTGGCATGTCACATGGTCAACACACCCCTTCTCCTCCTGACGCCTCAAACAGGTTACCATGGTTACTCGCTAATATTGCCACAAATCTTTGCTTAAGAGATCTATGTTCAGTGGGAGAACAATGCATAAAAGATATTGAAATCTGAATATCGTAAAGTAGTTAAATAGAAGCGGGACTGATTGCGGTCAGTATCAACTGCCGCAGGACTCAAGCTTGTCCTTGAGCTGCCCGGTCTGATACAGGGCCTTGGTCTCAGAGCAGCCGCCGATACACTCCCCGTTGACAAACACTCGTGGCACCTGGAGAACAAGTACATATGGTCAGTGTTAGGAATAACATGTTCAACCAAAGCATAATCACCTCTATGGATGTTTTGTTTGTTTGTTCTTTAAATCTGCACTCAGCATATTCCAGGTACATGACAGCGGTCTATAAATAACTCAGTCTGGACCAGAAAATCCATGTGCATCGATCAATGCAATTGGGATATGATGACCTGCATCAAACCAAGTCAGCGAGCCTGACCAACCGATCCTTTGGTTGCCTCTGACGACAAGCATGGGTTCCCGAAGACCAGTTCTATTAAAATCCGCATCTTCACGGGTATCGAGGGATTAACGACAGATCATGACATATCCATGCATAGTTAATTGCTGTATACAATGATATAGGAAAGCAAAACCACATCTAGGGATGTTATCATATATACATGTACTAACCAACTGCTTATTTGTTTGTTTGTTTGTTTGTTTAACGCCACACTTAGCAATATTTCTGTTTTCTTTATTTAAAGCATTAATTGTTTATTGTTAAGTGAGTTTATCTCTGCAGCCGTTGTAATATGCAGCTACCAGCCGATTCGTCTCGCATCAAAACACGGGCTGTGTACTCGCGGGCAGATGACCACAGAGTACGCTGATCACTGTCGGATTAACGAGACTGATTAATGAGTGATTTCGGTAATTCGTTACAAATTAGGTGTGTCGGAGTCGGAGTGAGAGACTGTCGGATAAACGGGTCTAAATAGCACTGATTTAATCAGTTCCCAACATTAGTGTCGGATAAAGCTGATTGTCGGATTAACGAGTGTCGGATTAATGAGACTTGACTGTATCTATGTTTGTTTGTTGTTTAACACATTTAACAACGCCAAACTCAGCCATATTGCAGCAATATGACAATAGCCAGTAAATAACCTAGTCTGGACCAGACAATCCAGCAATCGATATTGTAAACAACGATCCAACCTGTTGACGTGCAACATGTACAATGTCACGCAATCAACCAAGTCACCGAATCTGACCACCCAATCCATTTGTCACCTCTTACGATCAGCATAGGTTGCTAGGGACCAGCCCTAACCTGGGATCCCCTTGGGGTGATCTGTCAGTACACGTGTCAGTGACTCAGATTAAGCATCTCTCCGATGCAAGGGAGTTAACTAACTTTAAAAGTCAAGTTTCCACCCTTCCCAAACTAGGTTGCAATTATGGAGTTATATTTTGACTGGACCAACAAGTCTATGCATAATCCAATAAAACGAAATTGACATCCGGTTTGTAAACAGCATGGATTTCAACATGCAGATTTCGGTCGACTGCAGGATTTGCAAAGGATGTGTACCGTCAACTGGGCAGCAAATTCCAACCTATAGTACTACTAGTTCAGCAAGGGTGGAAACTGAACTTTTAGAGTCGGTTAACTCCCTCGCCTCGGGAAGATTTACGTTAAGAGGAACTTATGATGTTAATAGTGCCATTGGCACTATATACTAGGACTTTTGAACCCTGCAAACAAACACTACAAAAATATCAAAGATACTATATGGGAGTGAGTAAAGTGAACCCTTAATGAAAATCAAGGCAAGTAATTTGAGATTGTTAGAACCTCTGTTGTGGCTTAAATGATATAATCCCAGCTCTATTGTGTCCCTACCTACCGTTCTGGCCTTGGTCAAGTATTGCAGTATATCCTGTAGCTCCTGTCCGTCATGGCGGATATCCAGTTCCACACACTGAAAAGGCACATTCAGGTTCTTGAAAATATTTTTTACTTCTTTGCAGTATGGGCAGTAAGTCTTAGAGAAAACCATCACACAGTTTTCTGTGATGAGTCCGGCAACCTCCCTGGCCTCCTTCGTGTTCATGTAACGGGGAGGGTCCGACTTGGTGTGGGACCCACCCATTCTGCCAGAGGATGATTAGCTGGGGGTACTATGCCTGTAAAACTGGAAATAAAAAATACACTAATGATTAAAGAGGTTCTGCAGGAAAAAGCCTCAAACACAATCAAGGATTGATCTAGGAAATGGTATGTTTTTCAAATGTCCCACAGAGCACCAACAAAGATGTTTAAGTGTGCCCTTTGTAACTTCAACATTACTTAATGTTATGTATGCCAACAACAAAGAGTTCTATTAAAAAAAAGAAGTATTAACATATATCCCTGTGTTATGGGTTTTCAATTGCTTAAGAAACAGTTGAAGTTTTCTTGTTAATCACATGAACAACTGTAAAACATCTCACTCACTTATTTAAGACAAGTTTATCTTAATAATAAGCCATCATCTGATCTTATCTTAATAATAAGCCATCATCTGAGTTTATCTTAATAACATGCCATCATCTGAGTTTATCTTAATAAGCCATCATCTGAGTTTATCTTAATAACAAGCCATCATCTGAGTTTATCTATCTGAGTTTCTTTTAATAACAAGCCATCATCTGAGTTTATCTTAATAACATGCCATCATCTGAGTTTATCTTAATAAGCCATCATCTGAGTTTATCTTAATAACAAGCCATCATCTGAGTTTATCTTAATAACAAGCCATCATCTGAGTATATTTTAATAACAAGCCATCATCTGAGTTTATCTTAATAACACGCCATCATCTGAGTTTATCTTAATAAGCCATCATCTGAGTTTATCTTAATAACAAGCCATCATCTGAGTTTATCTATCTGAGTTTATTTTAATAACAAGCCATCATCTGAGTTTATCTTAATAACAAGCCATCATCTGAGTTTATCTATCTGAGTTTATTTTAATAACAAGCCATCATCTGAGTTTATCTTAATAACAAGCCACCATCTGAGTTTATCTTAATAACAAGCCACCATCAGGTTGCTGAAAATGAATTCATTTTGTATAGTCTAGCTGTTAGGCCAATACAGCTGATCAGATAATATAGACCCATTGTGGCAGAGCACTTCAATTTACACTGGTTTTGGAATTTCTAAATGTAAACATTTCTTTAAGATAACGATAAAGAGCCAGATGAATAAGATGCTGCCGTCATTTGTTGGGAGTAAAGATACAAACCTATGCAAGGTTGGATACTCATAATAATCATAATAATACAAAGGCAAATATCTTGACCTTAAGTTAGTATAAGCTGGGCATATAAATAATTAAAGATCCAAAATATTGTGAAATTCCGACAATTGTTCAACAGTCTAGATAAATTAATAATACAAGACTTAGCCATGTTTATATTCAACACACTGTTATATAGAGCCAAATTTGTAAATAATAGTTAAAATTGCAACATCTCAGGCCTGGGACCTCTTAGGTACTTAAAAAAAGATTGATTGGTTGATAAATAGGGGAGCAGGCTAAAATGGCACCTCAGCAAAAATTCCTGTCCGAGCCATACCTGATTTTGAACATTCACACTTTACTTGGCTGACATGAACACAAATAAGGATCACCCATGCACAAATAAGGATCACCATGCATAAATAAGGATCACCCATGCACAAATAAGGATCACCCATGCACAAATAAGGATCACCCATGCACAAATAAGGATCACCCATGCACAAATTAGGATCACCCATGCATAAATAAGAAACACCCATACACAAATTAGGATCACCCATACACAAATAAGGATCACCCATGCATAAATAAGGATCACCATGCACAAATAAGGATCACAATGCACAAATAAGAATCACCCATACATAAATTAGGATCACCCACACACAAATAAGGATCACCCACACACAAATTAGGATCACCCATGCACAAATAAGGATCACTCATGCACAAATTAGGATCACCCACACACAAATTAGGAGGACCAATACACATTTACTTTCATATTTGTTGTATTTGTAACAAGTCAGATTGTGTTAACCAGTATCGACCATAAATATGACAAACAGATATATATTCATAATAATTTATTCACGGCACTAAATTCACATATTCTAGCATACAGTTTGGTCACTTTAACATGTTTAATTTAATACAGTTTTATAGACTCTTTCATAGCAATCATTAAACATTTCAGAAACATAATTTATTCACGGCAATTTTTTCACACATTCAAAAATATTGAGCAAGTAAAATTCCGTGAACCCCATACATAATTCATTATATATAAATGTCAAACATTTAATTAACATTTTACTTAAACTTCAATACATTCAATCAAACTTCAAGAGCACAAATGTTGATCTAGATAATTATTCCTTAGACATGTTAGATGAAGCTCCAGTAAACACATTCAATGTCCCACACAAGTATAATTTCATTAAATGCATGTTTTTTAAAACCAAAGTTAAAAAAGATAAATAAGGTACCATGTTTGTCTCGCAATAGTAGCTGTATTTGCTTTGGACAAGGCTCCCTTTTCGCCAGTTGGTGCCATTTTTGCTCAATGACATTTGGCTAAGGTGCCATTTTAGCAAAAACTCATATATAACATTCATTCATCATCTAAGTCTTCTCCACAGAAATTGCATAAACTGTCAAAAAAATCAATTACAAGACTTTTCATATTATTGTATTTAAAAATCAGTTCAACAACATCTAAATTTTGAAAAATCTCTTTTTAGATTTACATGTTTACAGTCTTAAATGACATTGATTGATGACAGATATTGTACAATGTAATTCTAGCCTTGGTGACAGTATGACCATTCTTGTAAAACCAAATCTCTCGTTCTTTGCTTAAATGTATAAATACACACATTACACAGTCTGTGACATCTTGCATCAACCAGACATTACCATGATCTGATGATTAGATCCACAACTACAACAAAGTAGGCCTATATCTTACAACATTTTACAAATGAAACCTAATATTTTTAACCTAATTCATCAGAGTTACAAATTATGAAATAACAGTGCTTTGGATATTCGCCTAAATGCATTCTTAATTGCTTAATCCAATACTTAATTTTGATGCAAATGGTTCACAATATTTATCATGTCCACATAACGAGAAACAACCTCCTCGAAAAAAGCTCTCCATCGCTGCAAGTTCAGCCATGTTTCCAATGAATATTTAATGAACATTTAAAACCCCACGCATTGTAAGTCTAAACTCAAGTCCAAAGCACAAGCCTTTAAATCCTAAGGTGCTTGTATCATCACGAAACATGCTAAAGGTCCAAAACTTATTATAAATTAATGAGCATATATCGATAGATCTAATCATGATAATATAATAAATTATGATATCGGAACTAACCGTGCAGACAACGTGTGCCAGTGATCAGCCTGGTGATGACGTTTGACCTTCGCCTAATCGTTGTCTGAAAAGCAGAAACTTACAGGAATGCACATAAATACCCCGAAATGATGCAAAATATTGAATATGGATGTCTGCTTGATGTCGGAAGTAAGGGCAGGTTACTCTATTATTTTAATAAGGGGGATAACTGTGCAGCGGGCACCTACGCAATAAAATCCGGAAAGATGAACAAGTATCATACTACCACCCTACCAACTATATTCCATCTATATATTTGTATCGAACAAACCTTACGTGAAATATAACTTTTTTTAAAATAACTTGTTTAGCTTAAACGAACAAGTCATATTACTCTTCTGTACGCTTTGCGTTCTATTGCCGGAAACTTTGGATGTAAATTATTTGTTGTAAAACCCTTTTTCGGGATTCCGCTGTGACAGTTATAAATAAAATCGACAAAACCCCTTCCATAATCATAAGATATCTATGTCCATTTATGATTCCGACTATATCATGATCCAATAGCAACGTTACCATGGTTACCAGGTGCGAAAACACATGCGTCACAAACGCATGCAGATGCACATTCACCATAATAGGTAATTGCGTTGCACAAAATTTGGGTCACTGATGTGCCAATTGAGAGAGAGAGAGACCGAGAGAGAGAGAGAGAGAGAGAGAGAGAGAGAGAGAGAGAGAGAGAGAGAGAGAGAGAGAGAGAGAGAGATTTGTTTATTTGTCGATTTGTTTTAAATTTATGATCAGAAAATGTACGTACCACAACACTGTATTCATCATACAAATTGTCATAATGCAACATTTGCTTAATAATTCATCTCAAATGTAAATATAATATTCACAATTTATGAAGTTCACAAATGTATCTTTGCAGTCAACCCTCGCATTCCGCACATAAATAAGAGTAACGCACTAACGTTGTGGAAACAGCCGCCATACATAATTGAGACAATAGATGCCTGTTGGCATTACAGTTCCCAGCTGCGTGGCAATCTGGAAATGTGTACAAGACGTTTCATTGGCGATGTAACAATTTATTAAAGTAACAGCAACAAATCGGGAATAAAACTAACCAAAATAGTTTCTTTGTCACGAGTAAATAAAATCACATTTGATATTTTAATAATTAAGACATAGACATTCAACAATAAAAAAACCCATTCATGTCCGTTTTTATCTGTGTGATTTGCTAGATAAAAAACAACAAAACTATATGGATCTACTTGAAACAATAATCATTGATCAACTAGAATAATATCAACAAACAAAATATTAGCATGCAGTGATTTGTCATGGTCTTGTCCGGTTATATTATCTCCGGCTAAAATACCCGTTCTGATTTTATTATGTTTTGAATTATAAAACAATATTAATCAGTTAATATAATAATATTAAGCTTTTCTAAACTAGTTTATTTCAAAAGAAAAGAAGTAGAAGAAGTTCCAGCGTAAACGATACAGGACCACATTGTAACTTTGAAATATTAACTGTTGTTAGGAAATATCTATTTGTATGGTGATCATGTGACCTTGTACTTGCCTCAGATGTAGACGATTATAATGATCGGAAAGAAGGCTATTTAGTTTATTAATTTTCTCAGGAGCCATCGGATGTAAAGGACAGCTATTTGTTTGAGGCGATCATTAATAGTTGTCGTGATGTGGGTGAAACCAGAGGAAGTTCTTCTGGCCAACGCGCTGTGGTAAGAGTTTACGTTGCAATGTTTATGTGTCGGATGTCATGATAAGCCCACTTCCGGTTGTTTATGACATAAATAAACAGCTGTGTTTACACCCCATTCACGAGCTGTCATCATCATGCACTTACATATTTAGTAACTAATCCGTCATTTAATTCCAGTCAGCAGTGTACAAATATGCCTGCATAATAGATAATTGCTTGAATCAATATTTCACTTCCAAATATCACAATATTTGCAAACTTGAACCAAAATTCAGTTTATTGAGCCAGCATTCTTTGTCTTCAACGTCAGATTTATTTTTGACATTGGTGTTGTTCTTATTACTTATGATGAACCTTTATGCCTTTAATTTAAATATGCTTCATGTTTCTTAAGTGCTCACGTCAGCTTAATTTCAGTGATATTTATCAATAATGATAAGTTTTACCAATATGACACAAAAGTATACATAACCAATTTGTCATTGTTCTGTTTAAACCAGTAGGTCTTTATTATTTTTAGGCATGATATGCAGATAAATGATGATGCAAGTCACCCCCAACTCTATCCCTAGGCCTTGGATCTCCTTTCTGATCAAACACCCCTTTACACTCGATCCTTAGCCTTTGGATCTCCTTTCTGATCAAACACCCCTTTACATTCGATCCTTAGCCCTTGGATCTCCTTTCTGATCAAACACCCCTTTACACTCGATCCTTAGCCCTTGGATCTCCTTTCTGATCAAACACCCCTTTACACTCGATCCTTAGCCCTTGGATCTCCTTTCTGATCAAACACCCCTTTACACTCGATCCTTAGCCCTTGGATCTCCTTTCTGATCAAACACCCCTTTACACTCGATCCTTAGCCCTTGGATCTCCTTTCTGATCAAACACCCCTTTACACTCGATCCTTAGCCCTTGGATCTCCTTTCTGATCAAACACCCCTTTACACTCTATCCCTAGCCCTTGGATCTCCTTTCTGATCAAACACCCCTTTACATTCGATCCTTAGCCCTTGGATCTCCTTTCTGATCAAACACCCCTTTACACTCGATCCTTAGCCTTTGGATCTCCTTTCTGATCAAACAGCCCTTTACACTCGATCCTTAGCCCTTGGATCTCCTTTCTGATCAAACAGCCCTTTACACTCGATCCTTAGCCCTTGGATCTCCTTTCTGATCAAACACCCCTTTACACTCGATCCTTAGCCCTTGGATCTCCTTTCTGATCAAACAGCCCTTTACACTCTATCCTTAGCCCTTGGATCTCCTTTCTGATCAAACACCCCTTTACACTCGATCCTTAGCCCTTGGATCTCCTTTCTGATCAAACACCCCTTTACATTCGATCCTTAGCCCTTGGATCTCCTTTCTGATCAAACACCCCTTTACACTCGATCCTTAGCCCTTGGATCTCCTTTCTGATCAAACACCCCTTTACACTCGATCCTTAGCCCTTGGATCTCCTTTCTGATCAAACACCCCTTTACACTCGATCCTTAGCCCTTGGATCTCCTTTCTGATCAAACACCCCTTTACACTCGATCCTTAGCCCTTGGATCTCCTTTCCGATCATTTACTCCTTTATGATCATTAGGGTTAGGTACCCCTTTCAGAACAAAAACCCATCACTGTCCTTAGGGTGGGCACCACTTGCCAATTGAACACTCCTTTACAATCCTCAGGGTTAGTTGTGACATGGTGAGGTAGGGTATGGGTTTAACAAATTTCATACCGTTTAATTTGAAGAAACTCAGTACAATTTTTATCAAGTTTCGAGTTTTGCAGAGAAAATGGCTACGGCACATGCACATAAAGATAAACAGTCTGGAGCTAATGACTTGGTAAATGAGCACATGTTTGGCGAATTAGATGAACTCATTAGCCAAGTTTAGTTTCAAGCTGACAACATGATCATGTTAGTTCAGTCCTCCATGCAGCGCTAACTGAAATCCGAAAAAGTGCACTACTCTACTACTACTACTTAGAATAATCAATATTTTTGCACTTAATTTTACTTGCTGAAGTCATTCCTGCTAGGGTACCTTAAATTGTTTGCATTTTTATTGTATCGTGATACCAATTTTATGTTTATTGGATTAGTTGTCATAGCACAAAACTATCCATTGTAGGAAAAAATGGAAAAAAAAGAGACACACACTATCGGTCGTGAAAAATTGAGATCTGAAATGTTTCTTCATATAGCATGACACAGGGTTTCACATTAAGCAGACATCATAATCATGATAATGGATTAAAACTCCTGATTATCATTATCATATTGTTGATGAGTCAACAGAAAGATGATGTTATTTATTGTTGTCAATATCTTTTAAATTTATAGTTTAAATACTGCATGATTTACAAAACTGTGACTCTCAATTTTCATAGGATATGTGAAACACTTCTAATCTCAATGTATCACGAAAACCTTTTAATTCTCGTTGTTCCATAAACAGAGCTCCAGATAACTTTTTGAGTTATTGAGTTTTTACTTAAAAGTTCCTATTATAATTGGGTTAATACATTTTTCATTGGGTAACCAATATTTTGGAGATTTAAAAAAATAAAATAATGTTTTAGATGTTGATTAGCGTCCTAATTATAAGCTTGACTTTGAAAGTAAATTAGCTCATAATTGATAATTGTGTTTTGGAAATTAGCTCCATTGTACGCATGCTGAAAAAGCTTCACTGGGCTATTACGCATGCTGTATGCGTTTCTGTATGCAAGTTAATTGAAAGTAATTGGGTTTTGAATATTTATGGGGTGAATTTTATGGAAATATGCAGCTTATCTGTAGCTCTGCATAAAGGCATGGAATGCTGCTCGTAATATCAATCACTGGTTTGTATGACCAGACTCGATTGTTTACAGACACCTGTCATATAGCTGAATGCAGGGTTAAACATGTTTCAGAAGGTCCATGGTACGAATCCCAGCATGGACATAACTGAAATGTTAAATTTTGTAGCTGTACATTTGTCTGTGCATTTTCATATTATATGCTGGATGTGTCCTATGCCCATACATCTTGAGAATGGTTGCATAGAATTTAAATTACAAGTCCTCAGTGTCATTAGGCTTGCAGAAAGTATGGCTGTTTGAATCATTACTTGTATCCAAGTTGCAGATGCATGTTTCACATAACAGACATTTCTATTCTGGCAAGAAATACACCAGTGTTGTTGGTTGACTTTCTACAATCTAACAATAAAGTCTTAGTCTACAGCTTATGAGCATGTGCAGAAAAATATTTTTGAAACCAAGTGAAGCATACCACAGGTAGCAAGCGTCCCTCACCCAAAAGTTATTTCCAGTCGTCCCCTTGACTTGAAAATGGATGGAACCACCTCTGTGGCGTAGTGCATAAAGCTTGTGTCAAGAGAGTGGGAGGTCGGTGGTTCAATCCCCGGCTGCATCATATCAAAAGACATAAAAAGATGGTACTTGTTGTCACACAAAGACGTCACTGCATAAATGTGTCCTGTTTGTGTAAATATTGCAGCCTTGGAAATGCTCACATGTCAAAGACAACTGGGTGTTGCTGGTGACTGTTAAGTAGCTGCTGATGCTGGTAGCTGTTGACTAGTAATATTTGTGGAATATTTCCCAACAAGTGTCTCCTTTTGTAATGTTTGGAGATTTATGATATGTAGCAATCTCGTTAGAATCGGATCTTTTATGCTGATTCAATGAAAATCTGACACGGTCAGATGTTGTGTAAGCTGACCTTTCTAATCAGCCAGTGTTGAGTCTTCTATATTCTTGGTGTAAGTGAGCAAAGTATCCAGATCAGCATAACTGATTTCTGTATCTCAAAACAAAGTTAAAAGCCTGTTCTAAATGTAAATAAAAAAGGCTGTGCCATTATTGTTGTGGATATTTCGTAAACTTCTGAGTGCCATCCATTTATATTTTGAAAGCAAACATCATTATCATTGAGTCTTTATTAATTATCACCATCTGGGTGGACTTGCTACACTTTCTGACCAGTGAAACCACTTTCACTCAAAAATAGATAATTATGGATGAAATTACTAAGCAGTGTTCAGTGTTAGAAATTGGCACTAATCCTGTAGTCCTTGCCAAACTGGCCAATAGTTAAGGTATGTATCATAAGGACGAGTAGAAATTTGCCATTTTTAAGGGTTTTGCTATATATTATCATTATGAGGACAAGTGGACTAAAACTGTTAGATTCTACTGCTGACAGTGTGATTCCTATTGGGCAGAGGGGCCGTCGGGTAGCCTAGTGGTTAAAGCGTTCGCTCGTCACGCCGAAGACCCGGGTTCGATTCCCGACATGGGTACAATGTGTGAAGCCCATTTCTGGTGTCCCCCGCCGTGATATGGCTGGAATATTGCTAAAAGCGACGTAAAACCATACTCACTCACTCACTCACTATTGGGCAGAAGTGTGACTGTTTGACTGTCAGATGTCCAGTTATCAATGATGGTCAGTGCGGAAACTCTTGTTGAGAAGAAACATTTGATTGGTTGTTTGTATTTCAAATTCATGAGCGACATAAGTCCTGTGCTAAGTTAGGGATAAAAGATGGAGGTGTTGATGTTTCTCCAAAAAATATCTATGGTTGGGAATAGGTCAATGGTATTTATCATAACAGAATGGAGATTTAATACACTGTATAATCAAGGGTTGCCATAAGCCATACCATATGTACAGCCTGAAGCAACACACATGGCATGGCTGGGCATAGTCTGCCATGCAGCCCAGGCAAGTCTATAATGTTTGGCAAGTCTAGATTACTGAGTATCTGAAAATGAAGAAAGTCTCTGGGGCTCCTTTTTATTATATTTTATAACTATAGTTTAACAACTATTTTTTTCTGTAAAATGTTCATTTCAGAGACTAGATGTAAGTCTATCCTGGGCAGGGAAATGATGTTAAGAAAAAAGTAGTATTTGAGCAGTGTAGATGAAATATGCTCTGAGAGTGATGTAGTCACACAACCAGTTAGTTACGATGCATGTTAATGATTGCCTCCAATGTGAATA